TAGAAACATTGATGAGAAAGAAACATCGACCAGCTGCCTCCTGCACACCCCCTCCCAGGGATGTGCCTGTAACCAATGTACATGCCCTTGACCGGAATCAAACCTGGGACTTTTCAGTCCACAGACCGACGCTCTATCCACTGAGCCAAACCGGTTTTGGCAAAAGAATAATTCTTGAACACTGGAATACAAAGTACTGCTGACCTAGTTCTAAGTTTACTTTCTGGATTTTATCTGGACACTGTAGACATCATTTTGTATATACTTAGAGTTGTTTTTTCATGAAAAAATTTAAGCGGTCAATTAACTTGTTTAAACTTGTGTTATGGTAGGTGGCAATCCAGATATCAGTTCATTTCTTTAAGCCTTTGAGCGTGTCTTATGCATGTGGGTTCAGGGATCAGTTTGAGACTTTCGAGGGATTCATGTAGAGAAGTAGAGGAATTCTCTTTATGGCTCTCCTCCTCCCAGGATTCCCCCTCACTGTCCGCTATCCAGCATGCTTTTATTAATGGTTCCTTCAGCCAGAGAGATGATAGTGGGCTTTCTACTGCAGTTTTAACTACTTATGCAGTATGTGAGTGTGGCCAACCCGCAGGTAAACACACACACACACACACACACACACACACACACACACACTCACACACAAGGTACTCATCCATGTGGTGGTAGTTGCTTCTTCAGATTTTGACCACCTCTACAAGTGTCTGCTTTTATTTACTCTTTAGAATCCCCATGTAGTGTTTTTTAATATTTTGTCCAGAATTTATAGTTATCGGGATAATAAATTTTGTATTACCATACTAAACTATTTTCGATTAAAACATAAAAATCTATTGTCCATGCAAAAATTGCATTAATGATTTTTTAAAAAGCCTCACATAGCCCTAGCTGGTTTGGGATAGTGTTAGCTAAAGACTGAAGGGTCCCAGGTTCGATTCCAGTCAGAGGCATATGCCTGGGTTGTGGGCTCCATCCCTAGTAGGAGGCATGCAGGAGGCAGCCAATCAATGATTCTCCCTTATCATTGATGTTTCTATCTCTCTCTCCCTCTCCCTTCCTCTCTGACATCAATTTCAAAAAAGCCTAAGGCAAAGGTAACTTAGTAAAGTCTGTTTTAAAGTGGGTTCAGGCAAGCAAATAATCCCGTGCCGTTTTATAAAGTAGTAGAGCCCACATATTTGGGCTGAGACATTGGTTCAAATCTCGTTTACCTCTTACTGGATGTATAATCTTGGATAAGTTACTTCAACTCTCTATGCTTGTTTCCTCCTATTATATGGAGAAAACAATAGTAGTTACCTCTCAGGATATTGGATGGATTAATTAGGTGATGAATGTAAAGCAATCAGCACAGTGCCAAGTACCTATAAAAATGTTCAATGTTAGCTATTATTAGCAATAATAGTAATACTTTCTCCTGAATCCCAAAGGATTTCTATGATCTCTTTACTCAATTACTAATCCCTTTTTTATTTTACTTTCACAAAAGCAAATTTAGATCATGCTCCTTCACTTCCAGAAATGAATCACCTTCTACAGTTTTAAAATTCAGCACAGAACTAAAAAGACAAGTTTTGGTTGAATGCACCCTCTAGTGGTGTGTGTTATGTGCGAATACCTGGTTTCTGTGAAGAAAATCGCTTCATGGAATATCACTAGGTTAAAGCTTAGAACCTGAAGCCAGCTGATTGAGAACATTACAGTATGAGTAGCACTCACCTACATCTTTTATAAAGCTCCCTCTCTTCCAGAGCTGCAGGATTTGTCTTTTAAAAATGTCCTCACCTTAACACCTAGAATATTTGTGATTGTTACCACACCAAATCCCATCACTTCTACAGTACTGACTTTATTCTTTCCTCTTAAAGAAAATCAGTTACTTTCTAGTTTGCTTTAACAAACATTAGAAAGCACCTATTCCTCTTTTAGTTATCAAAAATGAACTGATATTTATCAACTATATACCAGGCAATGGGGATACAATATACAACCTATTAGACAATTCTCTATATAATTACACATTTGAAGTGCTGTAATGAAGTATGAACTTCCATGAGTGTGCAATAGGGGACTGGCCTAGTTTGGGACAGAGGGGCACTGAAGGATTACTTGAGAATAAAAATGTTAAAAGCCTTCAAAGGTGAGTAGAAAATAATTGAAAGAAAAGGATTGTCATACAGAGAACATCGTATATAAAGGCCTGGAGATAGCATAGGGCATTAGGTGGGAAGTTTCCTTTGCGTGTATCTTGAAGAAGAGGGGGAAATATTGTGCAAGGTGAGGCTAGTGAAACAAGCAGCGATTCAATACCATGTTAAGGAGTTTGAACTTCATCTTAAGAATAATGGGAAACTATGCAAGGGTTTTAAGCAAGAGGGCAGCATCTGATTTACATTTTCACAAGTTCACTTGGCTAAGGCATGTAAATGGATTTGAGGGAGTACACATAGGAATGCCCCAACCAGCTGTCAGTAATCCAGGTGAGACATGTTGAAACCTGTGACCAGGGAGGTAGCAGAGAGACAAAGAAAATAGATATTTAAGTGAAAACATGGGAGCAGCAGTTCTGATAAACTGAGTGGATAATGCCATGTTTGCACAGCCAGTGTGGCTCAGTGGTTGAGGGCCAACTTAGGAACCAGGAATTCAGGGCACATGCCTGGGTTATCTGCTGGATCCCCAGTAGGGGGCGTGCAGGAGGCAGCCTTCAATGATTCCCTCCCATCATTGATGTTTCCCTCTCCTTTCTTCTCTGAAATCAATTAAAAAATGTTTTTTAAATGATCATGCCATGTTTCCCACTAGGTACAACTAACTTGTGGTGGTATATCTGTTTGAGAGGGGTTGTTGAGATGATGAGTTGTTCCGGAGACCGAGGTATTCCTGTTAAAAAGGGAACTTTGGCTACAGTGTACTATTTTAATTGAATAATTCTTGGACCATGGGGCACCGCCCTCTATCCAATAAGCCCCATCTTCTTTAGAGATGTCTGACAGTAAGCCACTCCCACTACGCTAATTTTTATTTTACTTCTGCTTGGAAAGATCCTTAATTTCCTCCTAAAGTCATTTCACCAGATTGTGTTTCGAAGTTCAAAGGTCACCTCAAAGCAGCCTTCCCCTTGCCCCCCCCCCCACCCCCCAGACCCTCCAGTCCATTTGCCTGCACGGGGAGTGAGCACTCTTCAGCTCTGTGCCCCAGGCCTCCAGCGCCGCGCCCTGCAAATTCTAGGCGCTCCACACACTTAAAAACAAAACAAAAACCACAACATATTTTTGATTTCAGAGAGAGACAGAAACATCAGTGATGAGAAAATCACGGGATCGGCCGCCTTCTGCATGCCCCTCATGGGAGCTCGCCATTGAGGCCTGGTGCCCTGATCGGAATGGAACCAGCAATCTCTTCGTTCCTGGGCCCAAGCTCAACCGCTGAGCCACACTGGCTGAGCCGCACACCTGCACTTGAACCCATTTTCCCTGTGAGCCAGCCGGCTGAGCTGCGCGACAGGACCTGCGCAGCCCGGCGGAAGTGACGTGTATCGCAGAGGCGGTGCTTCCGGCCTGAGAGCCGCCCAGGGGGCGGGCTCCTCTGGCACGCTGGCTCTGCTGCTCTGGAGGATTCAGGCGTGGTAAGACGTGCTCGGCGGGACGCGAGGGGCCCCGGGACCCCCCTGGGACACTCCCTCTTCCCCCCAGAAAGCGGTGGAGTGCCCTCCGGGTTCCTGGGACGGGGCGGGAGCGCGGAGGCACTGGCTGAGAGGCACCGGGAGCCCCGCGCCGCTGGGGGAAACGCCGGGCCGCCGGGGCTGGGTACACGGAGTTTCCCCTCATGCGGCGCCCCGCACCTCGCACCCATTGGTGGTTTCCGCCGTCGGGCTGTGGGGAAGGGACGTTTGGAACGTGGGGGCTGAGGTTTTGGCGTCTGGTGCTGCACGCGTTGCTCGGGTGAGACAGGTGCGGCTCAGCTGAGGGTTTGATAGACCCGGCGTCCTCACGTGACAGTGAACACTAATGTATTTTCCCTTATCAGTCTGCCGGAAAGAGTTGTGTTGACGCCAAGTCATGTCAAAAACACCGGCTTTCTGTATGCAGCTTGCCAACGCAGATGGTTTGCCTTGGAATGGCTTGGTAACGGGATTGGAAGAAAGTAGCCCTGGGACTTAGCGAGAGGAAAATAAACGACCAGGAAAGCTGCAAAGTTTGGGAAGAGTAACTTCAGTCATTGTAGTATTTGGTGATTTAAATTTTGCGAAATAATTTGGTTTCTTATTTTCCATTAAAATAAATACTTTCCAGTTTTAAGCAAGTATTTATATTATGGTAGGCATGCTTTTTGAAAAAAATGTATATTTTTATTGATTTCAGAGAGGAAGGGAGAGGGAGAGAGATGAAACATCGTTGATAGGAGAAAATCATTGATTGGCGTCTCCTGCACGCCCTTGATTGGGTATTTAGCCTGCAACCCCACTCCTAACTAGGAATCCAATTGTGACCTCCTGATTCATTCAGGTGGATGCTCAACCATAGAGCCACACAGGCTGGACTTGTTTTATTTATTTATTTTTTAAACTGGCGTGGTAGCTTCTGTGGTAAGGGCTGGATTTACATTACAGGCATTATAGAATTAAATATGTAGATCCCTAAATGAAGTAAAAAACCCATGTTTTAATGATTAAAACTAACATGGCATATGTGATATATAGCATGTATTTTTTTAAAAAATACATTTTTATTGATTTCAAAGAGAAAAACATCAATAATGAGAGCAAATCATTGATCGGCTGCCTCCTGCCCACTGGGGATCGAGTCCTCAACCTGGCATGTGCCCTTGACTAGAGTCAAACCCAGGACCTTCAGTCTGCAGTCCGACACTCTGTCCACTGAGCCAAACCAGCTAGGGCTGTAGCATGTACGTTAAGTTTAGTTTATTTCCTTTAAATGATGACTAACTGCCATGCTTGCCTTAAAGATTGATCCAGTACCTCTGATGAAACCATGACCAGATGGGCACGAGTCACTACCACAAATAACAAAAGACCCTTGCCTGCAACATCATGGGAGGATATGAAGAAGGGGTCCTCTGAGGAAAAGAGCCAAAGCCTACCAAAGAGTAAACAACTTGAAGCCAATAGGCTGTGCCTTAAAAATGGTGCACACCAAGCAAAACACAAAAAGAACAAGAAGAAAAAGGAGTACTTAAATGAAGATGTGAATGGATTCATGGACTACCTAAGGCAAAACTCACAGATGGTTCACAACGGGGAAGTGATAACAGCGGACAGCCGGGAAGTACGGGAAGAAATTGCAGTCGCTTTAAAGAAAGATAGTCGCAGAGAAGGAAGACGGTTAAAAAGACAAGCAGCAAAGAAAAATGCCATGGTAAGTTTATCACTTCTACCAAAGTATTACTTTAGATGGCTAGAAACTATTAATCATATACTCACACATATTTAGCAGTTTGACTACTATTATGTACTAAATTATAAAGCATCTTTTTAAGGGCTAGTAATAACTATTTGCTAGATACTTAATGTACTCATTAATTATCAGAACAACACTATAAACATGGTGTTCCATCTTGGGTAGAAAACACTAACATGTAGGCAGGTTAAGTATCTTTCTGAAAACTACATTTGATTACTTAGTGTGCTGGCTGGCATTATGTAATTATATGCATTTTTAATAAATGTGAACCTAAATGAGCTGCTAACTGCAGGCCAGCCAAAAAAATTTTTTTTCAAACCCAGAATCTGTCTTCAAAACTGTTTCCACATTTACCTTCAAGTAGCCATTTTATAAATAGCCATTTTTAAAAAAGATCAAAATAAGTAGGAAGGTTAAGTACAACAGGTTAAATACGTATGGTTCCCATTACTTAGAAAGGATATTCGTTTTTTGTCCATGAAAAACTGACACACATGAAGGAGATCTAATAAGGATCACAGTAGTTAGTAACTGAGCAGCAGAGTTAAAAGTTCTTGAGACCTTCCCTAGTCATTGTTCCCTCCCTCTCAATGTTACACTCAGAGAATGCTGGGGACTGCAGGTTTATTTCTGCGGTGCCTTGCTGTAGATTTTATTTACTATGGGCCCAGTGCACGAATTCGTGCACCTTGAAAGTAACTGTGGGCCTTGAGGGGTCTTGGCCCATTCTCTGTGCCCCTCCCACCATGGCCACCAGTTTCCTGTCTGCTCGAAGCCCCGTTCCTCCTGCTCGCACCCACTGATGGTGAAGAGTGCCAGCAGTGGTGCAAGCTGGCCGGCGCTGTCAGCAGGTTGAGCAGCAGCTGCTGCCCCAGTCGCCCCTCAGGAGCAGGGAAAAGTGGAGAAGCCCTGAGGGGTGATTGAGGCCTGCAGCTGCAGCACCTGCCAACAGCTCTGAGCGATTGAAGCTGGTGCCAGCAGCAGGTGCAAGCACCAGGCAAGACCGTGGCACGAGGGAGCAAAGAACTTTAAGTAACCACCAGAGGCTCACCCTGATGACAACAAACAGTGCCTCGCCTTGGTCTGGTGCCCCTGCTCACCTGCTCCACTGTCCCACCGCGGCTGATGCCCACCATGTTCTGCGCTCTGTCGCCTGCTGCCAATGCCTGCCATGTTCCCCACGTGCCCCCTCACCAGCGCACGTCATAGTGACTGGTTGTTCGGTTGTTCTGCCGTTCAGTCTATTTGCATATTAGCCTTTTATTATATAGGATAGGATTTGTTTATTGATTTGAGGGAGAGAAATATCAACGTGAGAGAGTAACATTGCCTCTCGTACACTCGTATTTGCCTGACCATGAGTTGAACCTGCAAGCTTTTGGTGTACGGGATGATGCTCCAACTAACTGAGCCACCTGGCCAGGACCTTCCCTAGATCCCCACAGGAAATGAAGTGTGTAGTATAATTCCTTCCCTTCTCCCCTTTTAAAATGAATTTCAAAGTCTCAATCTAGTAGGATATTTTATAAGAATCAGGATTTATTATCATTTTACACTTCTTTTAATAGTAAATGTACAGCACTGTTAATACCAGTGCAGGTTTGAAATGTTATAGCCACCATACATGTAGCCTCTGATATTTGCAGGATTTGTTATGTGCAGTGCCATTTAAAGATAATTATTTAGCCTTGGCCAGTGTGGCTCAGTTGGTTGAGGGCCATCCCATGCACTGAAAGGTTGCTGGTTGGATTTCTTGTCGGCACAAACCCCCGTTGCAAGTTCAGTCCATAGTCAGGGTATTTGCAGGAGTCAACTGAACAGTGTTTCTCACATTGATGTTTCTCTCTCCTTGTCCCTTTATCTCTCTAAAAAAAAAATCAATAAAAACATTTTTTAAAAGATAATTTTTTAGAGCAATACTAATGAGGCATTCCTTATGAATAAATTGGGATAGAAAAGATAATTTCTGTTTAGATCAGGATAGTTTTAAGTCAAGATAACTTAAGGATAATTTAATTGACATAAATAGTATGGTGAATTGCATACAATTTGAAAAAGCTAAATATGACTTTTTGAAAACAATATTTTTATTGATTTCAGAGAGGAAGGGAGAGGGAGAGATAGAAACATCAGTAATGAGAGAGAATCATTGATTGGCTGCTTCCTGAATGTCCCCAACTGGGGATCCAGCCTACAACCCAGGCATGCGCCCTGACGAGAAATCGAACCCTGACCTCATTCATAGGTCAACGCTCAACCACTGAGCCATGCTGGCTGGGCTATTATGACCTTTTAAGAGAAGTTTTATGTTTGTAGTTAAGAAAATATATTTTTTTAGTAATGCTTTATGTTAAAACATATACTTTAAAGACTGTGGCTTGTTGTGACCTACCTTCAAATTTTTTTTGTGTAATTTCCTTAATACCTGATACTTAGCATCAGTTCTTAATACCTGATATTTAGGAACAGTTCTTAGCTAATAAATTAAGATATTAGACACTTAGTAGAGCGCTTCCCACAACCCCGTCTACATTAAATGTAAGGATCAACCAAGAAACTTATATTTGAAATTTATATAAAATACTAACCGATTAGCTGTCAGGTTATTAGAGACTGCCTTAACTTCACCAAAAATCCAAACTTATGTTGGTGATCCAAAATTTAGCATTAACTTCCTCCACTTGTAGAATAAATGCATTTTTTTTTGTTTGGACTAGCTCAGTGGTTGGCAAACTGCGGCTTGTGAGCCACATGTGGCTTTTTGGCCCCTTGAGTGTGGCTCTTCCACAAAATATCATGGCCTAGGCGAGTCTATTTTGAAGAAGTGGCATTAAAAGAAGTTTAAGTTTAAAAAATTTGCTCTCAAAAGAAATTTCAATCGTTGTACTGTTGGTATTTGGCTCTGTTGATTAATGAATTTGCCGACCACTGGACTAGCTCATTCTAAATGTATTAATAAAAGTTACTGAAGAGTGCAGGGACTTATTCTTTTCCGTTGTTATTAAACAGGAAAAAAAGAAAGCAAGGTTATAGTTGTAAAATGTTATGTTTTACTTTGTTGAATTTACTTTTTAAAAAACCTGTGCTTATTTGGGAAAATAAAATTACAGTTGAACTATTTGTTATCCAAGAAGTATATATATCTTTTTATAGTTTAAATATCTACCATCTTTGATTATGATCGATGTTCTCATTCATTGCAAAAAATATCCTTCAAATTGCTAGAGAGTATATAAAACAGGCAAATCATTGTTCTGTGTTATGTTAGAGGCAAATAATTCATCTTAGGATTATTCCTTTAAAATTAATTGTATATACATTCTAAGAATGAAACATCTATTTTTGAATATTAACAAATAGGTATTATAAAGATATGAAAACCTTATGGTATACTTTTTTTTATTTGATTTCAGAGAGGAAGGGAAAGAGGTAGAAACATCAATAATGAGAGAGAATCATTGATTGGCTGACTCCTGCATAACCCCCACTGGGAATGAGCCGAAATCAGAGCATGTGCTCTGACTGGGAATTGAACTGTGACCTCCTGGTTCATAGGTCAACACTCAACCACTGAGCCACTTTTTGGTATGAAATATAATTTATTATTTGAATCATAATTTAAATGGAATTATTTAGCTCAAATTCATTCAATTATATGAACTTTAAAAGTACAAGTATTAATTTTGATGGATAATTTTTTTGGCCATTGTTTACTCCAAAAAACTGTTTTTCAAGTCAGACATCCCCATTAATGAAATACATAGTCCACAGTTGCTTAATTCATTTAAGTGATTATTTCTTAATAACTTTGTGTCTGAGATTGACTGATTGAGGGTTTTCTAAAACACTGAGACCATGAGGAAAATGACATTTTTTATTGTTTAGCATTGGATGAAATACTTCTACAGATAAAATTTGAGATTTCAGAAAAAGTGCTAGATATCTTAAAATGAGAAATGTTTTATAGATATTTTTGATAACAGAAATTGATAGAACCAGTGCAGTTTTGCAGTATGGAAACTCACATTTTGTTTTCCCAGGTATGTTTTCATTGTAGAAAACCTGGCCATGGGATTGCAGATTGCCCGGCTGCCCTTGAGAATCAAGATATGGGCACTGGAATATGTTATCGGTGTGGATCTACAGAGCACGAAATAACCAAGTGCAGGGCTAAAGTAGATCCAGCTCTAGGTATGTTTTTTTCTTATCAGTTTTTGATTTGCTTAATCAAAAGTGGGAAAGTGGCCAATAAGTAGCCACTTGGATTTTTCTGTTTACAGGGTTGAGTGTGCCTATTGTTGAAATCTTACAAGATTAAAATTTAAATGATGTAGGTACATGTTTTCTTCTCAGAATATTTTAAAATAATATGCATTTTATGACTTGTAATATATATAACCAATTAAAAGGAACTGTTTGATTGTTACAGGTGAATTTCCTTTTGCAAAATGTTTTGTTTGTGGGGAAATGGGACACCTGTCCAGATCTTGCCCTGATAATCCCAAAGGAGTGTATGCTGATGGTGAGTACTTTTACCCTTGTAAGTCAAAAATTTGAGTCATCATGCAGTTATACTTAATTTACACTGTTAATCAGTCCTTGGATATATATTTTTAAAATATATTTTTATTGATTTCAGAGAGTGAGGGAGAAGGAGAGGGAGATAGAAACATCAATGATGAAAGAGAATCATTGATCGGCTGCCTCCTGCATGCAACCCACACTGGGGATTGAGCTTGCAACCCAGGCATGTGCCCTGTCCAGGAATTGAACCATGATCTCCTGGTTCACAGGTCAGTGCTCAATCACTGAACTATGCTGCTCATGCTTGAATAAATTTTTGAATAAGTAGCAAAACCTTATTTTTACTGAGTACTATTCTACCTACTGAACTTTTTGGGTACTATGACTTGATATATTAATAAATCAGAAATAACTTGGGTGAATATTTCCAACTGCTTACTTTAGCATCATTATGAGAATATATCAAATTTCTGCTTTTAAACAGAACAGAAAAGTTATAATACTTCAAAGTAATATAAAATTTTAAATATAAGATTTAAAACATAGTGTGAATTTAATCTCAGCCTAGCCTATTTTGTATAAAGGGCTGCTATGCACTATTAATATTTGTAGTAGTTTTTGTTTCTAAATGATTTCCTTAGTTAATTGTCTGGCATGGCATCATGTAATTTTCTTACCTTCAGCTCAGCTAATGTCTTAAGGTCCTCACAAAAAGTCTATGATGTCTAAAGCTTTAAGGAGATTGTCATTTGTTAATGTGAATCAGATAGTAATGTGATGGCTGGTACCTTCAGGTTCTAGACACCTCTTGTGTCATGTCCTGGGTTCCATTGGAGAAGTCCAGTGGAAAAGCATAGTTTTTGGAATTAAACATATTGGTTATAGTCCAAAGCGCCACTTATTAGCTGTGGCGCTTTGGCTGTGTTATTTAACTTTTCTCATCTCAGTTTCTTCACCTATAAAATGGAGATGAAAAAACAAAACAAAAACTGTTTGTGTTTCATTGATTCTAAGATGCACATTTTTCCACATTTATTATCTCTGAACTCAAAATGTATCTTACCATTGGTAGGTCCCACATAATTGACATGTTTTCCTTTTTTTCTGAGGAGTATGTAAAATAATGACACATCTTATAATCAGTAGTATTTTAGTTTTAATGAGTTGTAGTATTTACAAAGATGGATAGTCAACCAAAATGACTAGATATAAAAAAAAAAGTACATCAAGGGGAGTACCATATTTTCCCGCATATAAGACGACTTTGAAATGAAAAAAAAATCAACCGAAAATCAGGGGCAAAAGACCAAAATTGCACAAAAATTACCTGCACATCTTGATGGCAAAGTCTTTTCTTTGAAGTGGGGGGTAGTCTTATACAGCAAATATAGGCCTAAACCTATGTTTTAACTGTAAAAATTAGGGGGTCGTCTTATATGCCAGAAAAATCACATAGAAGTGGGAGCTCAACCAGGTTTATATTCTGTAGGGTCATTTTCCTGGATAAATCACTTAACATTATGAGCATGATCATGATCATTCTTTACCATTACACAAAAGATTCATTTTAGAAATCGTGTGTGTTGTAATTTACAGACCTGGAATGTTGCTTAAATGGTCATTTTAATTAGGGTTAGGATCCCTGGCAGATAGAAAGCCTGGAAACATGGCTCTGTGGGACATTTTAAGAAAGATTACCCTCAAAGTCAGAATTTGGGTGAGATCTCTGGGCTTCCATTTAAAAGGGGTAGAATTATCTATTCTCTATGTTAATTTTCATTCCTTTCATAACTGCTCACCTCCATCTGATCTATATAATAGAGAAGTGGTTTCTAACCTTTGGGAGGCGGGGGTGGTCATTGATCATTAGGTAACGTGATAAAATCTGTAGACATCCTCAACAAATGCATCAGCACACAAATTTTGCTCACAAGTTTAAGAGTTCACAACCCCTTGCCTGTTTAACCATGGTCCTGGCTTTTATGCAGGGGCTTTTGGACACTCCAGGGAAAAAGTGCCTTCCATCATCTCTCTCTCCTCTTTCCCACTACTTCCCTGAAGGCCCAGTGGAATAAATGGGTAGGTGCAGTTAGTGCTCTGTGATGTCAGAGGAATGGAGAATGACCTTATCCATAGGAATGGTGGCACCCACCTATGTCTCTGGCCAACAGGTTGTGAGGACCAAATAAGATATGAAAGTGCTTTGAGACATTAAAAGCCCTAAGTGAGTGTGAGAGATTTTCAATGACTTTGTTCTTTTACTAGGTGGCGGCTGCAGACTTTGTGGCTCTGTGGGACATTTTAAGAAGGATTGCCCTCAAAGTCAAAATTCAGGTGAGATCTTTGGGCTTCCATTAAGAAGGGGGAAGATTAGCAACCCTCTATGTTTTTGCTGCATTTTGTTACTAATAACTCACTGGGGATTTTAAGGCAATTTAGTTTCCTGTTGCAGTGATGACTCAATCATTTCTCTGTCAGCTGTAGACACAGTACCAATTGGCCATTAGCTGCTGTTCTCAGGTGGGGAAGAAAGGGACCATTAAGCCCTGATCTTACCTTACAAACATCTTGTTCATAAACATTTATATTTACTTAAAAGTATACATTCACTAAGAAAATAAGAAATATGAAAATAGCTTTCAATCCTATATAATAAAAGCCTAATATGCTAAGTGTCCAGGCATCTGGTCAACCAACCAAAGCGTAATATGCTAATGATATGCTTAGGCTGCTATGACAAGCACTGACCACCAGGGGGCAGATGTCCCAACTGGTAGGTTAGCTTGCTTCCCCAACTGGTAGGTTAGCTTGCTGATCAGGACTGAGCAAGATGGGCTGGACACACCCTGGAGCCCTCCCGCATCCTTCCCCGGCCTCTGTCATGCATCCGTGGGGTCCCTCTGCCTGGCCTGCACCCTCTAGCAATCCAGGACCCCTCAGGAGATGTCAGAGAGCCAGTTTCAGCTTGATCCCACAGGCCAGGCAGAGAGACCCCACTGGTGCATAAATTTGTGCACCAGGCCTCTAGTAGTCTTATGATTGAGTATCCTTATGTGTGTTTTGCTTTTTGTATACCTGAAGGATTCAGAGTTGGTTGCAAAAACTACTGAAAATATTAAAATTGTGTTGTCCACACAGTGTCTGCCCAGTTATATTTTCTTCTTAATGAAATACTACCTAACCCTGGTCACCAAAAAAGCTTCCCTATACCTATGATAGATTTAGGGGGAAGAGAAGATCTTATTACCTAGTTTACCTAGATTAGAATGATGATAATTCTATGTGAAAGAAAGCAAGACAGTAGGATACTCAGTAGTGTTTCTTATGGGGGAAAAAAAACCCACATTTTTTTTTATGTCAAATAGTGATGATACAAATAAGTACTCGTTTTTACTTTCTACCCCTAACATTTAAATTTGATAACCAAGAGTTCTTATTTATAATGTTGTCTAGAAGATAGTGTTTACTACATTGTAGGCAGTAAGATTGAAATGATGAAGTGGAATTTGAATTCTCCTTCCTGGGAGGACTGCCACTTCCCAAATGCAAGACTGACAAGCAGATGTTGTATAATTTCACAGGTGGAATCTTGTGCATTTAAAAGTGATGCTTCATAAGTCTTGCTGTTTACAGACACTTGGAATTCATTGACTCTGTAATGATGAACTCTGGGAAAGAATGAAAGTGCTTTCTCATCAATTTGTGCATTGCAAAGCAGTTGCTCCATTTCCCTAATTGGGATGAGAAATTGCCTGTGCTACTCGGAAATCAAGGGTTATAATCAATTAAAAATTACTTTTCTTCCGTGATGGAGTATTCCCTCCTTGTGATTATTCATGTCAAAAATGGTTCCTTTGCTAAGCCCAAACCAATCTATGACTACATTTTTTTCTTACATTCTGACTTTTCTGTTTCTTTACAGATCGAATGGTTACAGTTGGTCGCTGGGCAAAGGGGATGAGTGCAGACTATGAAGAAATTTTGGATGTGCCTAAACCACAGAAACCCAAAACGAAGACACCTAAAGTTGTTAATTTTTGATAATGACTAGTATTATCATAAGTTACCATCTCATTGTTACATTCTGAACGGGGCCTTCTTCACAAGTTGGAGCTGGGCTCCCTTGGAGAGGCCTGTTTTGTAGATATCAGTATGATCTGGGGAGGTCAGATAGTTAACCGAGTTCTGACCAAGGAGTACTTCTGCTTGGAGAAAATCACCTAAGGAAAGCATAAGATGTTTACATTTGATTCTTTAAAAGAACTTTTTTAGCAGAACTTATGTATAAGTAAGTGGTTATAATCCTAATTGTAACAATCATCTTTTTAAAAATATATATATATTTTTTATTATTACAGAGAGGGAGAGAGATAGAAACATCAATGATGAGAGAATCATTGATCGGCTGTCTCCTGCACACCCCCCTGCAATCCAGGCATGTGTCTTTAACTGGAATCAAACCTGGGACCCCTCAGTCTGCAGGCCGACACTCTATCCACTGAGCCAAACTAGCTAGGGCCAATCATTTTTTTCTTAAAAAAATTAGGCAGCCCTGACTTGACTCAGTTGGTTGGAACATCGACCTATACACCAAAAAGGTTGTGGGTTCAATTTCCAGCCAGTATGGATAAGGGAGGAGGGCAACTGATTGATGTTTCTCTCAAGCATCGATGTTTCTCTTGCTTACTGTCTCAAAATTGGTGGAAGCATATTCTAAGGTAAGGATTTAAAAAAATAAAATATGTATTCATCTGATACCCCTAAGGTAATTAATTCCTTTACATTTGGAAATATATTTTTAGTTCTGTTTTCTAGCTCAAAGTATCAACTATTTATAAGTTATCAAAAAATCATTTGTATTTTTATTAAACATTATTTACTGATTTTAGAGAGGAAGGGAGAGGGAGAGAAAGATAGAAACATCAATGAGAGAGAATCATTGGCTGCCTCCTGCCTACCCCCCACTGGGAACTGAGCCCACAACCTGGGCATATGCCCTGACTGGGAATCAAACCTCCTGGTTCATAGGTTGATGCTCAACCACTGAGCTATGCTGGCCAGGCTGCATTTTTATAATATTTAATAAAAATGTATTTGGTATTTTTCTGAATACCTAATTCTGGATTTAAGTAGTCATTGTCTTTTAATGCCCATTAACAATCTCTTTGGAATCACAATCTTTTATGAACCCAACATTAATTTTTGTTTCAGATTTCACATAAAGAATTACATATTTTTTGAAGTTAAAATTGAAGAGTATCTCACCTTAGCAGCTCTTTCTTTGGTATTGATGTTCAAGAAAGAAATTCAGCTTGGAGTATTTAGCCAGAATAATGGCACATAACAGACTGTATATCAAACTTAATAGCATTTTGTTCACATGTTTTAGATGAGTCTGGGTGCTTATCACCATAATAGAGTTAGAACACTAATCAGAGACCCATTAGTGTCTTTGTTTGATTTGATGAATACATGCATACTTAATCCATATATTTCTCAAGGCTTAGGGCTCCTATTGTGCTGTATAATGCAATGACTCTGGTGGATTGTGCATTTTATTTGGAATTTTACCTGATTGGATACATTTGTAACCGAAGGAAACAGCTGTGATTAGTTACTGATGCTTCAAAAGCAAAATATTTACCAAATAAAAAAACCACTTTTCTCTGTTTCAGTATTAACAACTCAACAGTTCTAGTCTTAATAGGAGCTGTTTTTTTATTTCAGTGAGAGGAGAACATGGCAGGATGTGGCTCAGCATCGCAACGCATCAGGAAATGGTGCCGTGTAAGAGGAATTGCACACGCACACGTCTGGAAAAGCACAGCAGTGCTGCCTCTAGTCCAGATTTGTTTCATTTGTTCTGTGAGGAGCAAAGGGCGCCAGCCTGCCAGCCGCAAGTTAAGTGTAAGGTTTTTCATAGAGGTTTTGATGAGATGTTAGTGTCCATTTTGTCTTCCCTGGGTTTTGCTAAATTTTAATGGTCTATAAATTAGTGAAATAATTAGAAATAAACTGCAGGTGCCAAATGTAATATTAAAAAAGTGGATGGACACTGGAAATGGAATTCACCAAATTCTGACATCCTGAGAGATTGCAAATTTCTTGAAAGGAATTATAGATGTTTATTTTCTTAGCTACAAATGCCTAAAGCATAAAACAAACATATATTCATTATTTCCCAGGAACCTACTATGTTCCATGTTCCTGGTATTCTCTTAGGCACGTGGGATTGTGTCAGTGAATGAGACAAGCAAAACCACATGCATTCTAAGGGGCTTTAAACAGTCTTACCCCTGCCCCCTTTTTGCTGCCGTTATATTCCAGGCCATTAGGTTTGAATCTCAACTTGCTCTTTTCTCGGCAGTCCCTTCTTAATCCTCATGGCCAACTCTCCCTTATGTCCTTCAGGCATCTTTACAGTCAGCTTAATAATCTTCCTGTGACCAGTCTTATAGAAAATATTTCCTTCCTCATCCCAATAACTTTTTTCCTCTAATTTTCTGAGTAATTTATATCCCCACCTAACACTATTTGTCCTTTCTTCACCAAATTATTTGTTACATCAGGACAGGAATTTGGACTTGCTCATTAGTTTATCCTGGAGAAGTACTCAGCATATAGAAACTTCCACTTTAGTTGAGTGAATTATATTAACAAGTGACATAATGGGAATTAACAGAAACATGTTGCAAATGATTGTATCTACTTTAGATAATAAAGGGAAGGCCTTGAGGGGGGAGATTTTTGTTCTGAAATCTGAATGACAAGAGGAACCAGTTGTGAAGATAATGGGGAAGAGCATTTAGGGAGAGAATAGAGGAGACTGGCTTGTCATATTCAAGGGGCAGAACGATGTGGTCTTTTGTGACTGTCTTCCTTCACTTAATGTTTTTAAAGTTCATCCATAACCTGATGTATAGGTATATAGCAGTGGTTCTCAACCTTTCTAATGCCGAGACCCTTTAATACAGTTCCTCATGTTGTGGTTACCCCCAACCATAAAATTATTTTTGTTGCTACTTCATAACTGTAATTTTGCTACTGTTAATGAATCGTAATGTAAATATCTGTCTTTTCCGATGGTCTTAGGGGACCCAATAAGTTGAGAACAGCACTATTTAGAAAGGTTGAGAACCCCTGGTATATGGGAGGTATATAGGGGTAAAGCTTTGATATCTTAATGTGAGATGATAGATAAATGCAGTTATACTGAAGCCAATATGACTGGAAAAGAGGAATAAACAAGTAGGAAAAGGTCAGATAGTTAACAAGGGTCTTAGTTTATAGGCTCTACTAGTTAGTTTTTGCTGTGGAATCACCACAAAAATCTCAGAAGAACACAATAATAAACCTTTCCTTAGCTCATGCTTGTGAGTCAAATCTAGGCTGGCTTACCTGGACCACTGCTAATATCAGAGTTGGCTTGGTCACATGTGTATAAAGTTTGGTTTGGGGTCTGCTGATCTAAGCCAGGCTCAGATGAAGCAGTTCTGTTCCACGTCTCTCGTCCTTTTCCTGGGACCAACAGGCTAGCCCTGGCATGTTTTTCTCCTGACAAGTGTCAGAGATGTAAGAGGGCAAGTGCATTTGCAAAAACACTTGGATTGCATCATATCTGCTAACTTTCCATGAATGAGTCACATGGCCAAGAAGATGAGAAACAGACTAGTACACTCCATTCTTGGAGGTGGGGATGGTGGTGAGTAAATATTTCTGAAAAATAATCTAATATACCACACAGCCTTATTGACCGTTAGTTATAAGGTATTGGCTTTTACTGTCTGATGTGCAAAATTGTTCATTTTTTTATATATATATTTTTATTTCAGAGAGGAAGGGAGAGGGAGAGACAAACAATAATGAGAATCATTGAGTGGCTGCCTCCAGCACGCCACCTACTGGGAATTGAGCCTGAAACCAGGCATGTGCCCTTAATGGAATTGAACCTGGGACCCTTCAATCCACAGGCCAGTGCTCTATCCTCAAAGCCAAACTAAATCGGGCTATTCATGGATTTTGAAAAGAAACATGGCATCATCCGACTGCTGGGTTGAGAGTGGAGTAAAGGAAGAAGCAATAACAAACAGGTTATAATTCAGGTGAGAGAAGTTGGTGCTTTGGATTAGGGTTGTGATAGAGTTGATTAGAAGGACTCAGGTATTGGTTATATTTTTAATAGGGCTATAAGGTTTTGCTGACCAGAGGTAGAGATTTGACAAACAGCAGGATGTATCTAACCTCTTAAGTGGTCTAAACTCTAATGGAGATGTCCTTCAACTCTTAAAAGTTATCCTGTAGAGGGGGCTGAATTAACATATGCAGGTTTGTCTTATGAGTTAAGGCAAATCACAGACAAGAGTAGAATAATGAATGTTGAAGTCAAGGGAATAAAGTGCTAATGTAATGGTTATGAAAGAAGAGGTTAGTTAATATTCCCTTTCTCTGCAATAACACATTTTGCAGGTACTTTTCATGTGTATATATTGCAGTAGATACTAAATTGGTCAGCCACCTTGAATATATGTTAAATGACACTAGTAAAGTAGTTCCTATTACTAAAATTGATTGGCTCCCATTATGCTTTAATGTCTTCCTAATTTAAAGCTCTAAAACATGTAATACATCTTGTCAAATGCTCCTGACATACAGATGCCTGCGGTGCATGGAACAATCCCACACTATTAATCAGCTAACCAACTTGTCATTTCTTATTTTATAAAATTTCAAACAACACATTTCACCTCTATAGTCTAAAAATGTCTATGGTTATTTTAACCATATTTGTACCATTTTACAGAACACACAGTATTGCACATGGCAGCTTTCGAATGTCTGTGCCCATGGACGGGAGCATTTAAAAACAGTTTTAAAGCTATTTTAATGCTAGCCCAAATCAATGATCTTTGACCTGAGATGCACTTTGGTTTTTAACCTTTTCCTAACTGCATTTTGCTTAAGCCAAAAGCTTGCCAAGTGTCATGGATAAAGGTGCTTAGAATTAAAAGTGGGAAATCAATTACAGATAATTGAAAGTTTCTCACTTAAAATATGCTTATTGACTCATCATCAGTAGCATTCTCTATGAATTGTATACAGGAACCTGCTGTCTCTTCAATGGATTTTGACCAGCCACCAAGATTTCCAGCAAAGTAAGGCAAGATGCTAGCAGAAATCTGGTTAAAATAAGATACCTGTTTCAAAAGAAAATACAGTATTTCAGTTTCTTATTGACATGGAACTTTTTCAAGCAGGGAACTGAGTCTTGTTTGTATAGGGAGGCTATTAATCCTATTTCTCTGGGGACCTGAAATGGATCTGAAAGGATGAAAGGATTCCCCTAGTATGGACACACATTGCAGAATTATAGTTAACTAGAGGCCTGCTGTATGAAAATTTATGCACTCGGTGGGGTCGCTCAGCCTGGTCTATGCCCTCTTGCAGTCCGGGACCCCTCAGAGGATATCCACCTGCCAGTTTTAGGCCTGCTCCCCGGGGGATCAGACCTAAGCTGGTAGTCAAACATCCCTCTAGCAGCCCAGGAGCCCCTGGGCGATGTCCTACTGATGGCCTAAGCCTCAGTCAGACATCTTTAGCACTGCCACAGATGTAGGTGAGGATCCTGCCACCGCTGCTGTCCTCGCAGCCATCAGCCTGGCTTGTGGCTGAGCAGAGCTCCCCCTGTTGAGTGTCTGCTCTGCGTTGAGCATCTGCCCCCTGGTGGTCAGTGCACATCATAGCAATTGATCTTTCCTAGTCATTCAGCCTTTAGGGTCAATTTGCATATTATCCTTTTATTATATAGGATTAGAAATTATGAGTAAAAGACTTCTCATACCTGTAGAAACAAAGTAACCTGCAGAAACAAAGTAACCTGCAGATGTTTCATCAAACTTACAGTGCATGAACGGCTGTCAATAGCATGGATGAGAAAGCCAGCACAGGTGATTTCACTTCTGACATACTGTGGAGAAGGTGGGACCGATGGCAGAATGACCGACTTCACTGCCACGGTGTAAGTGTTACTGAAAATAAAAGGACACTTCCCAAGTTCTCGTGAGAAACAGAATAGTTGTTAGAATATTCTAACATTATATATAGCTATATTCAAGCCATAGTAATATGGACCAAAAGTGTTTTCTCACAATTATATATACTTGCAGAATTCCACAAAGATGGAACTAATCTCCAAACTGGTTTTATTGTGCCCTAATGGGTTGTAATTTCACTTTCCTTTTAAATGAAAGAATAATACCCATTATTACAGAGGGTAATTATTATTGTTTCAAAGAAGCTCCAAACAACAAGGGACCTTACAAAGGAGGATATAGAAGTTTTCTTCAGTTCACCCTAGTCACAATGTACTCTCTTTCTCGAGATTATTACTCTTAACTTTTTTTAAAATATATTTTTATTGATTTTTTACAGAGAGGAAGGGAGAGAGATAGAGAGCTAGAAATTTGATGAGAGAGAAACATCAACCAGCTGCCTCTTGCACACCCCCTACTGGGGATGTGCCTGCAACCAACGTACATGCCCCTGACTGGAATCGAACCTGGGACCTTTCAGTCCGCAGACCGCTCTACCATTGAGCCAAACTGGTTTCGTCTACTCTTAACGTTTTGGTGTGTATTCCTTCAGACCTTTTTATAAATATATGACATTTATGTAAGAAAATGCACAGATAATAATTTTTACATAGATATAATTATTTAACAAATATGTATCTATAATTTGATTTTTCAGCTAACAAATCTTTGGAGGTGCCTCTGGTTACTTTATTCTTTTAAATGCTGGCAGAGTACTCCATAGTATGGCTCAACCACAATTTACAAGATGGTATTTGGTCTGTGTCTAATATCTTTTGCCATAATAAGTGATATTACACTGAATATCTATGTGATTATATACTAGTGGCAATCCAGAACCACTGGCTCCTAAGTGCTCACCTGCCTGATGGCCCTAACTGCTCTCCCCTCCTGGCCAGATCCCCCTAACTGCTTATGTGCTCTCCCTTCCTCTCTGTGCCTTCAGACCCAGTGCAGGAGTGCTGAGAGCTCTCCGCCGAGGCCCGCCCCTGTCCTGATGCCCCCTTCTGGGCTGGTGGTGCAACAGGCCTGCATGCGCTTCCGCTGGGGAGGAGGAGGCCGCTGTGGCCCCTCCTAATACCCCCATCCGTCCGGGCCAGGCATTGCCACAGGCCTACATGCACTTTTGCTGGGGGTGACACAAGTCCCCGCCCCCACCCCCCTAGCTCCTGTGCTTGCACACCTTTGACTGGTTGTGACTCGGCAAATTAGAATATGCTCTCTTTATTATATAGGATGTGTGGGATTATTTCTACAGGCTAGCTTTGACATCAGGAATGCTGCTGCTTGCCAAAACTGGTTTGGCTCAGTGGTAGAGCGTCGGTCTGCGGACTGAAAAGTTGCAGATTTGATTCCGGTTAAGGGCATGTACATTGGTTGCAGGCACATCCCTGGTAGGGGTTGTGCAAGAGGCAGCTGGTCGATGTTTCTCATCGACGTTTCTAGCTCTCTATCTCTCCCTTCCTCTCTGTAAAAAAATCAATAAAAATATATTAAAAAAAAAAGAATGCTGCTGCTAGTTTCAGTGGTAGACCTTAACTGTCCTGGCAGCTTCCACTTGTCTTGAGTACTTGCTTTGGGGCCCTTCTGCTTAGAACCTAGGCAATGCGTGTGGAGAAGTCCAGTGCCCAAGGAGAAGCCATGGGTAGATGCCGATTGACAGCCCTAGGGGGCAGCGGCCATTTGGATGTCTAGCACCATGAAACCTTTGTAAATCCTAAACCAAATCCTAGTATTTTATTTGACTTTTTCTACATTTCTACTGATAGTAGAATATTTCAGTGGTTTGCTAAATACCAGTTTTATATCTGCATAGAGAAAAAGAAAAGGGAACTGCTTTAGGAACCTTGCATGGTGCTTTATACATAACTGGCACTTAGCATATGATTACTTGGGTTGTGTGTTTTTTTAATGATAACTAAGGTACATCTAGAAAAATTTCAGATGAACATCATTCAAGACCAGAAATGCTTACATTGACTTCCTTATTTTCATATCAACTTTTGCTTCCTTCTCTATACTATAAAAATTGCTGTAACACTTGAATTTCATTTACTCACCTATCTTTAAGAGATCTTCGTGACACAAGTACGACCAAGTCTTTGGGTTTGTCACCATTTGCTATAGGACAGGTGATATAATATATTTGGTCATCTTCACTCACCCAGTCTATGACTTCACAGGACCTGTGTAATAGAACAGTGAAAGAAAGGCAGTACTTTTCTACTGATAGAATAAGGCAGTTAATATTTTGTTTGCATAACTTCATTATTGATGTCTACATACACCCTTCTGCTCATATAACCATCCCTCCAAAGCCAGCATCATTTCTCAGAGTCCATTTTTAGAAAGCTGTTTGGTCAGAAGAAATAACTGGGCATGTGATCATGAACACGGTGGCCACCTGAGGCTGGCCACAACACTTCAGAGAAAATAATTCCACAAAAATTATTTTCTGTAGGATCAAGTAATAACATTTTGAAGACTATTGAATTATATAGACAGTCCAAGAAGAACTCGGATAAAGGGATATGGTATATTAGAAAGGACACTAAGATTGGAATCAAACAACTTGCCTTTGAATCCTGGACTGCCATTTAGTAGATGTGTTAGGTTGGGGCAAGTCACTTTATTTTTTCCATCTCTAAAATGTAGATAATAATACCTATGGGGTTATTGTGAGGATTAAATGCAAACACCTGGCACAGTACTTGAATTATTGTAGGTACATAAGAAAAGTAAGTTGGGTAAGAACTCATTCCTCCATTATTCAAGTTCAATATGGCTAGAATGTCAGGTGATTGAGCAAATAGAGGGAGAAACATTTGGAAAGAATTAACACCAAAGTTTAGGCATTGTTCTTACTAAAAGCTTTGTACTTACAGAGTATCTACAAATACTGATGCAAGATAATCGTGAAGTGTTTCTCTTCTCTTCGAGTGTTCTGTTAGGACAGCATTAACTATATTGTATCATTTAGGCACCTAGGCAATGTAACATGACCCTGGAGCTGTTTCACTTTTGTGGTATTAAATTATCTATTACATGGTATTAACTATAATGAGGTTTAGTAATTTTAAAGACGAACCCCTACCTCAGGATTAGGAAGTCAACAGTAATGCTTACTATTATAGGAAGCCCACCTCACCAATCCTTCCCTTTCAGCAAGGTGTTCTAGAAGCCCTGAGTGGGCCCAAGAGCTGGAACTCCTTGGAGAGGGGCCGTGGCCTGAGTGCGGTCAGTCCCTATCAGTACAATTGACAAGGTACACAGCTCCCTCTTTCAGGAAATGAGGACAAGTGGAGGAGACCGAATAAGGCATGCAGGAGACAGAGGTAACAAATTGAGATGTAGGCTGACAGGAGTGGCCCCTGATCAGACAGGGAGAGCAGGAAGGAATGCCTTTCACCTCCGCACCCACCCAGCTTCTCACCTGGGAGTGCTGCTTCACATAAAACAAGGGACTGCCAATTAAATATCAAGAGCGTGAAGTGAAAAATAACAGTTCGATAATTATTTCCTCAAGAGCAGTGAAACTGTTCGAGCGTGGAATTCAGAGCCTGACAGACCTGGGCTCCAAGTTGGGTTCCATCGCTTTAAGGCTGTGCTGTCTTGGCAAGCTCATTAAATGAAAATACTATGAAATTTGAACAGTTATTAGCAGGATTACAATAGATGTGGGTAAAGCATGTCAACTCCATATTGATGATAAATAAGTGATTATAATAATTTGGTTTTGTGTTTCTTAATAGCACCTAATGCCATTTTCTATGCAGAGCATGCTTTACTAGTAAAAACTAGACTTTAATTAATAAAACAAGAGGTCACATGTTGGGCAATGGAGATGCAATGCAATCTGGAGGTTATCTTTTCTGTCATGTTAGGGTTGATTAAGAAAATATTTTAAATTTATTCTTACATGTAATGGGGGTCCCACAAAGGTCGCTTGGTAAAGTCAGACAATAGATGATAAGCCAAGTGTGCCGGTTTTTCCACATGCTTTTCAACCCAAATAGATAAAATATCTTCTTCTTCCAGAGTATATATTTTTATCTAAAAGATAAAAAAATAACAAAAGAAAAATGGATATTTTTACTTAAAAAACATCACAGATGTGCCCCATCAGTGTGGCCCAGTGGTTGTAGACTTATGAACCAGGTCAACCTATGGCCTATGAGCCAGGAGGTCATGGTTCCAGTCCCTGTCAGGGCACATGCCTGGGTTGCAGGCTTAATCCCTAGTGGGAGTCATGCAGGAGGCAGCCAATCAATGATTCTCTGTCATCAATGTTTCTATCTCTCTCTGAAATCAATGAAAACATTTCTAAAAAGCCACCATGGGCATACACATGTAGGCAAAGGCTGCTGGCATCCAAATAACCATGAAGCCAATGATGGCAACTTAACTTCAAACACTTGTATATCTAGGGCTCTGCCCAGGATGCTGTACTTCTGTATTCTCTAAACAACATGTGACTTGAGGGTGGGTTATTTAATTATCGTGCAATAGTTCAGGAACAACAAAATACTATCAGGTTATTAGGCTGCACCTTGGAGCCAAGGCTGCAGATGTCAGGTGTGCCTTCTGGTGGACTGAGGTGACCCCAGGAAGTCAGCTGGCCACCTCTAGAACCAACTCATCCACTCAGTGGCGTCGCTGAAGTACCATGTTTCTTCAGCACAAAGCGTCCTTTCATTAGTGACTCATAGGGCAGGCCAATTCCTGAGTTTCTTCTTAATGCCTATTATTCCTTAGCTCAGAGGAGGCCCGGGTTGGAGAGCCATGTGACTTATACCGAAACATTAATGTATTCCTGTTACTCTGAACTCTCCTTATGTGCTTTTGCCAACAATCAGAGACATGTGTTCCACTAAGCACACATTCCTCCCCTGCCCATTTAAAATCTCCATCTCTTTCAGGGTGCTTTGAAGTTAGTGTTGAAACTTGTCATCTTATAATAATTCCCATGGCAACAAGCTGTGCGAAGACAAACAAACATAGGGTTAAGACTTCCCCGCAGGAATCAAGCAGATGGAAAAATCAAGCTGCGAGGGAGAAAACCTTTATTTAAATATCTTCAAGGAAAGAATGAAGCAATGAGAAAGTGACCACAAGTGGCTCAGAGTAGAAAGAAGGGGCTATTTGCTTATTCCATTTTACCTCTCCCGTTGACCTTACAGTGCCGAGCCTGTCTTTCAATAGAGCCCACGGAGAAGGACATAATGTCGGCCCAGAGCTCTTACCGAAAAGCGAGAAAAGCATGCGCAGGGCGCCAGGTGGTAGCCAAGACTCACCCAGCATCAATTCAATTCCTGGTCAGGGTACATGCTCAATTCCCAGTAGGGGGTATGCAGGAGGCAATCAATGGATGTTTCTCATGGATGTTTCTATCCCTATCCCTTTCTCTAAAATCAATAGTGTGTGTGGGTGTGGGTGTGTGTGTGTATCATATATATATATATATATATATATATATATATATATATATATATATATATGAATTTGCATGCAGACATGCACACTGGGAGAACACCACATGAAGATAAAGGCAGAAATTGGGTGACACATCTACAAGCTAAGGAACACCAAAGATTGCCAGAAAACCACCAGAAGCTCAGGGAGAGGCCTGGAACAGGTTCTCCCTCATCCTTTAGGAGGAACCAAAGCTACCAACACCTTGATCTTAGACTCCTGTGAGACAATACATTTCTATTGCTTAAGCCCCCCCGTTTGCGGTCCTGTTACAGCAGTTCTAGGAAAGGGCCACAGCACTTCTCCTGGAAGCCGCTCCCCAGGGTGCAGACACACGCTGCTGCTTCCTACCCTCGGGCCACAGCAGACATCAGGCTGGGCCGTCACCGTTACACCCGGCCCCAGCAGCCCCTCTAGACTTACCAGTGCTGAGAACTGTACTATGTGAGTGAAGGATATTTGACCAATCCTCAGAAGGTGAAGGCAAAGGCAGCAGGAAATCCTTCCCAGCGCTGCTGTCAGAATCAATGACAGATGCAGATGAAGCAGACAAGGAGAGGCAGAGGTTGGTGTTGGCTCCCTTTAAACCCTACTACTTTAGAAAAGCCAGCTTTTGCTTAGTGAAAAAATTCTCCAAGAAAACCAGTTCCCTTTCATGCTCAGAAGAATACAGGTTAAATTCCATTTGTAACGAGATCATATGAGTACCCTATTTTAGAGGCTTCTGCTTCACTGATGATGAGAAACAGTACACATGTTTCAGAGCTGGCATTATCGAGCATCTCCTGAGAGCCAGCCACTGCTATGTGCTGGGACCACAGTGGTGAGCAAAAGGGCCCTCAGAGAGCATGCAGTTAGTGTGGGCATAGCTTCAAAGGGCCTCCTAACATACCTCTGAAACCAGGTACAATTGGAATCCAAATGCTGCATGTTCAGTTAAATTTGATGACACACAAAATATTGTAAAAGATGTTAAAAGACACAATTTTCCTTCTTAAAAAGTTTATAATTAGGAGAAAAGACCGTGTGTAAAAGCTCTATTGCTATTAATTCTGTTATCAGTTCAACGTAGCTGTGGAAGAAATGCCATAGTGCCTAATTAATTGACAAGTTGATTTTAAAGAAGTAATTGTGAAGGGAGTTCCTAAAGGAAAAAGTTCCTTCAATTAGGGCTGATAGGAGTGGCTTTACGGGAAGCATTTCGGCTGAGTCTTGAAGACCAGCTAGGATTTGGGCAGAAGAAGAGGAAAAGAGAAGTGGCATATGACAACTAAGCTGAGAGGTGAGGGGGTGCAGGGTGTATTTGAAGGACCCCAAATCAGCCAGCATGGAGTAGTAGAGGCAGGGCTGAAATGAGGCTTGACTTTTAGAAATAGTTTAATAAATATATATATATATATATATATATATATATATATATATATATATATATATTACTTTCTTAAAAGCAGTAGTATAAGCAGAACCATCACCACCATGATCATTTTTTAATTTTTTTAAATTGGATTTATGGGGTGACATTGGTTAATAAAATTTTTGGGTTTCAGGTGTATGATTTTTATTTGTGATGCATAATGAGTTTGTGCATGTACTTGGATGCCTCCTACCTTTTCCACAGCACTGGTGATCTCCCAACCACTTTTGGCCACCAGCTTTTTGAAAGCCTCCACATTGTTATCACTCAGGGATACCTAAAATGCAGATATTTAAAAAGCTGTGAGTTCAATGCACAGATACGTAAACATATTTTCTGCTTAGAAAACGGAGACTTTTAGAGCCAAAGTGATTATGTCGTGTTTAAAACTATGCTACAGGTAATAATTTCTGTCTCAAACTCTTAAATCAGAATCCAGACAAACTAACATGAGGCCTTTATGTTTAGCAAGTTAATCGGATTTTAATTGGTGTGCTAAGCAAAGACAAGATTGCCCTTTTGTATGACTTCCTAATAAACTTGGATTTTCCTTTACATTTTATGGCCCAAAATGATGAAAACAACTAATACTTCATTGTTGTGTTATAAAAATGAAATCTTGAGGGCATGTCGTTCAGCAGAAATCGGGCTAAGACAATGTCCCATGCTGCTCAGATGCATTTGAAGGCAGAGCTTCCTGCGTTTGTAATTTGGGAACTGTACCTACAGTTCAAACAAGACAGCGTCGCAACTGGTCAGTAACCAGTTACTGACAGCTCGGTCCTGTTTCATTGTGAGATGGCTGGTTGCCATGATTCACCTTTTCATCTAACCTGTGTCAGCACAACCTGAATCAGTTAAACAGGGAACTTCTGTTTTCGTAATGATGTGAGCTTTACACGAAGAGCTCCAAATCATAAAACTGTTACCTGGTTGCGAATATCCCAGTGTATGGAAAGTGGAATCTCTTGTTTGTGGGAAATGACATATTTTCTGGGGGGGAAAATTAAAAATGTTAAATAACAGTTTTCTTCCCTGTATTTAGCAAACAACAGTAATCATCACACACTTTCTTGAGCTGAAATCAGCAGTTTAAAATGCTGCTTGTACTGGTGAAACAATCAGGAAGAACAATTTTCATCACTGTCAGAAAACATCAACCTTCTCTCCTCTCATTATGTGGGACTAGACTCGCAGAGAGCAGCTCTTTGTTATGCAATTTGCAAGGTAATATCTTACACCGTAACATGTTTATACCTAGGTCCCTTACCTGCCCAGACGAATTCTCTTGCGTGCAATAGCTCCACAATAACGTCTAAAATCATCCTTTAATTTAAAAAAAAAAAAAAAGTAAAATCAATACATTTCTCATACTTTAGTGCTATAATCTTAAGTCTTTTTCCCCTAAGTCAGTTAAGGAAGCTAACTGGAACCCAGTGTCTGCATGAATGCTGCTCAGGTGAGAGTTGGCAATAAGGCAACTGCAGATAGTTCCCATGTACATGGAGCAGCACAGATTAGCAGACGTAAAGTGGGAGAAGAGAATCAGAAATGAGGAAGGAGCCGAAACCAGTTTGGCTCAGTGGATAGAGCTTTGGCCTGCGGACTGAAAGGTCTCACGTTTGATTCAGGTCAAGGGCATGTACCCTGGATGCAGGTACATCCCCAGTAGGGGGTGTGCAAGAGGCAGCTGATCAATATTTCTCTCTCATCGATGTTTTTAACTATCCCTCTCTCTTCCTCTCTGTAAAAAAAAAAAAAAAAAAAAGAAAAAAAAAAAAAAAAAATCAATAAAATATATTAAAAAAAATAGAAATGGGAAAGAAAGACAATATGCTTCCAACAGCAGTGCAGGGCCCAGTTGAGGTGAGGTAGGCAGGGCCCCCATTGAGACAGTATAAGGGTAATATCTGGACTCCATTTTGGAGGCCTAACTAATGCTCCTTGCTCAGAAACCTTCCCATAATTAAAATTAACCTAATCACATCCTTAAAGGGAAGAATGCACAAGAACATCCCTTCTTCACATCGTGTTCTGCAAAATAGGTGCTTTGTCTATTAAATGGTAACTAGAATATCTGCCCAAGCATTATCTTATGGGCCCTTTGAGTGATCCACAGACCACTGAAAACAACTGTGACTACCCGGGGATCACCACCGCCAGGTGACGATCATGGGACAACTTACCTCCCCCCTCATTCCCTAGCCCTGCACCCACCCCAAGCCATCCACAAGAACGGGAGCTCAACCTCTCCTTTCTGGTCGACCCCCTTGTGCACAAGCCCTTTTCAATAAACTCTATCTGCTTGATCTTGTTCTGAGTGCTCCTTTCTATGACATTACACTCAAGAACCTGGCATTTCAACAAAGGATTAGTTATTTTTTGGGGGGGAAAAAGTCCATGGTGCTAATAACTTACCTTGGACATGGGTTTGATTTTGGGAAATGTGACCAGTTCTTCCTTATCATTGACAGCGTTATAAATGAGAAAAGCACTGTTGATGTGACGGCCCAGGCCCTCAGACCACTCCTGGCAGTCAAAGGCCTCCACGCGCACTCCCACTTCGGCACTGCAGAGGGTGACACAGGGCGGTGGGCAGAGAACCAAAGCTCACCGGGCCCACCTCTGCCCGCCACCTCCACCTCCTCCTCCAAGCACGAAGGAAATGAGGGTCCTGGTTTTTCCTCTGTGGTCTGCAAATCTATGCAACTGTTAAAATCCATTTCTCCAGGTCGAAAGATCAGATGTGCAATCCCCTGAGGGTATTTCTGCTTTACTTTCCCACTTTCAGGGGTGAGGAGGAGGAAGACCAGTTGTGATTTTGTATATATTCATGAACATATTTTGGTAATGGGGAGGGGAGTTCAAATTATGCCAAAGTCAAATTTTCTCCCCTCAAAATAATAATTCTGTGAGTAAAAGCATCAAACACTGAAATTGAACAGGAAATACAAATATTCTTTTTTACATTTTAAAAGAAAAAATACTAAAAAAAAATACAAAATTAAATCTTTTCTTTGTATATTAAGAGTAATAAAAATAACTGGAAAGTGGCTTGGACTTCATGGTGATAAATGGCAGGTCTATTATAAATAGGTTGACCATACAGCCACTGGGACTCTTGAGAATGAAAGGAAGAGTTAATAATTACACAGGTATAAACCAGGACCATTCTGGTAAACTGAGGCATAGAGTCACTTTTATTATGAGAGATAAAAACCAACCTACCACAATTTACTCAGAATAAGGAGGCCTCAAGCAGAATATAGGGTTAAAATGTGTACAAATTTTGAAAACTGAATGAAAAAAAAAAGAAATAGAAAGAACTTGGTTATTTTAAAATAAAATAACCTATAAAGCATCCCTATAAAGCATCGATCAGACCATCAAACCTCAGAGGGAAGGTAGGGGAGGGTGAGGTAAGGGGAAGAGATCAACCAAAGGACTTGTATGCATGCATATAAGCATAACCAATGGACACAGACAACAGGGGGGTGAGGGCATGAGTGAGACGGGGGAAGGGAGGGTTGATAAGGTAATGGGGGGGGGGGTGAGGACACATATGTAATACCTGAATCAATAAAGAAATGTAAATAAATAAAAAAAGAAAAAAATAAGACAAAAAAATAGTCCCTATATTCACCTCCAGATCGAAATAGAAAATTTAAAACATGTGCAAGTTTTAAAGTTGTTTATAGCAGCTGAAGACCACTACACACACTTTACCAGGTCTGAAAGGTATTGTTGACGACGGCATTGAAGACCAGACGATCTCCCACTGTGGATGGGCCTCGGAACTTAAACATGTCCACAGACTTCAGGAGCGGATGGGCGCGACAGAGGCGGCTGATGAAACAAAGGGGAGGAGAGGAGAAATAGATAATTTTCTCCTAAATATTTTCAGGAAACGCTGATTCACTTCACAGGCACAACAGACCAGTGTTCCATGTATTTCCTAAGTAAACATCTTTTAACTCCAGTGAAACAAATAACTAGATCATGTGTGTTGAGAGTGGTTCTGTATGCCCCCTGCAAATGCTTTGGGAAATACCATGTCCCACACCGTGGGGTCTTTACCAAGATTCTGGGGCTCCTCTGGTGGTGACAGTCCTGCCCTTGCTTTGTCCCCCACAAAAGTCCCTCTGAAGAGTAAGCCAATGCCTCCCATTCTAATCTGAGGGTTCTATTCATTCTGGCAGCTCACAGGGAGCAGGGACTGCCAGGGTGGAGCAGGGCACAGTGTGAGAACGCCAGCTAGTACTGTCCACACCAGTTCCTTAACTTCACAGTTAACAGATTCACCCACATATCCAAAGACTTAACATTTTTCCCTCACAGAAAAATCACCTAGATTGCTGCACAAATTTGCCTCTTAGGCTACAAGTTACTCACTTTACGATTGGTGTGTGTGGGAACTTTTTGAAATATCTAGAAAGAATATGTAATCTCAGAAATACATCCGTTCTTTTTACATTTTAGATTCCCACTGTGGCCATTCAATTACTCTAAAGAATTGTGCCTACACTCGCTGCACAGACTCTGCCAGTTAATTATATTGTAAGCTTTTCAAATAGAAGAGGCTCAAATGCTTTCTTGTCATTAAGAATGACAATCTCATTTTTAAAAACAAGCTGACATTTATTTGTGCATAATTTATAGGAAGGATAACTACAGGTCCTTAACTATAGTAATAACTACAGGCACATTAATAATAAAATTCTTATAGTTTTGGAAAAAATAAAACTTAACAGTTTTCAGTGGTTACAAAAATTGTCAGCAGAGCAAATCCTCTTGAAATGCATTTTCAGAATACACATGTTCTTTAAAGCTGATAAGTTACCTACATGCTCTAAGAATAAAATAAACATTTTTGAAACTGAGGCAAATTTAAAAGAATTCTTCCAATTCTTCCCCTTTTTCCTCTTATTTTTCAGTTAATCCTGTAACCATAATGATTCCAACACACTTTTGACGGTCAGACCTAACTGTAAATTGACGTTAGAATTGTCTAACTATAAATTGCCGTTAAAAAGCTTGTGACTTGACTATTTTTAAGTGTAAACACCATCTCCTATTTCTATTCTGCATCTACTTTGTTATAGCCATTGTTACAAGGAATTTTAATGTCACAAGGTCAACATTCATAATTCAGAATAAAGTATGAGAACTGTAGCTTCATTTTTGTTTTTGGACCAAGTTTATCTGAAGGTAAACAGGTAAATGACTAATTTTCTCATTTTGATAAAAGACAACACTGTCCTCTCCTTGATTGCTTGACTTGCCCAATAATTGGATCTCGGTCCCTTTCTACTCTCACCCCACTGGTCCAAACACCACATGTCGAAGGTCAAAACCAAGAACCTTGCAGAAATAGTAGCCACCGTCTCCATCCAAGCCATAATCTGGCCACCAAATGTATTTCCATGATGGTTTGCATGGGGTGGGAGGACAAGTTCAATGCTCTGAACAGAGGTGCCCCTGGTGGGAACTGCTCCTTCTTCTTCATCACAAATGAGATCTGAAAGGTGGATGTAAACATTAATGATGGCAGAGTTCACCACAGGGCGGGAGGCTACAGCCTTGCTTTCCCACCAGCACTCTCAAGCCATGAGATTTTTAGAAAAGTTAAATTATTCCCAAAGACTTAAAACTCCTGAGGAAATAAATAGATTTTATTCAACAGAATGACTTTCATCTGAATGGTAGATATTTAGAGTGGATTGGATAATAGATCAGGAAGGGCCTTTCAGAGAATATATTCCAACCTACCTTACAATTTTGATTAAAAAATGATTACATTTAAACTTGAGTTGTTTGGGATGAAGGAGGAAAAGGTCGGGGTAGGAAGGGGCAGAAAGAAATTTGGGGATTGATGAATATGCCATTATCTTGATTGTGGTGATGGTTTCGTGGGTGCATATGTGTCTCAAAACTTACCAGCCTATATGGGGATGATCACTTTGTAGGTTATATGAATATCTAATGACTATGCTGTATACATGAAACTAATATAGCATTGTATGTAAACTGTAATGAAAAAGCTTATATTGTACACTTTAAATATCATGTCAATATAGCTATTAAAAAAATAAAGAAACTGGAGTCACGGAGGGCCGTAGACATGGAGAATCTTGAATAGCTTGCTGTACTCTATGAAGTTCAGAGCAGGAATGTGGCTCCCCATGGTTGCTGTTTTGTAATGAATGCTGTCACCAACAGAAAAGACACAATATGTTGTACTTCTCAGTGTCCTTCTGCTTCTTTTGAATCATATCTGCTTCATTTACTGACAAATTGGTTTTTACTCTCAACAATGGAGAAATCATTTGCTTTGGCTGCAAAGCAATAAGTGTGTTCAATTATGTTGCCTGCATCATCAAATGAATCACCAGCCAGGCTTAAATCTCACTTGCTATTGTTGAGACAGGAGAGGAAGACTTCTGAATCAGAAGCTACCATCCTGGCTGCCCAGTCAGAGGTAGTGTGAGAACACAGAGGTGCTTTGCTGTTGTTGGGCACTGGGCATGGGGCCATTCTTGGTGCAGTCACATATGAGCAGAGAAATGTGGTTATAGAAACTTTTAACTCCATTTCTTAATGGAATTTAAAAATTTATAATTGATTAGTTGATGGTCTTTCCCACCCCCCTCCAATCCACCCCCACTTGTTCAACTGATCATTTTAGTCATCTGCTTAAAAGCATGTCTTTACTTCCCATCCTCCTAGTATAAAATCCTTCCTCTTTCCCCTAGCCCTTCCTTTTTGGTCTGTCTACTCTCCATCCAGTTGGTCTGATTAATACTAGCACCTCTCCCTTCTGCATCATATTTTCTCTCTCCAATTTTCCCTCTCTTTGTTCCTGCCACAATAACGCTTTTCAATTCAACTAAATTTTGCCTTCAACATCAGGGCATTTGCACATGTTGGTTCCTCTTTCAGTAGCAATCGTCCTCGCCACCAGCACTACCACCTTCTTCCACTTACCTCCTATTCTCACTTGCTTATCTCAGTGATCATTCTCTCAGGAAAGCCTTCCCTGACCTCCAAGGCCAATCTCCACTCTTACAAGCTCTCACATGTCCCTTTATTCCACAGTTATAGTTTTATGTTTATTTGTGTGATTTTTGATTATCTGATTCCCCAGGTCCTAAGATCCTTTGAGCAATATGTTCTCAGTAAATATTTTTGAGTGAAGAGAGGAATAAATTTAATCTGGCTGATTTTTCCACATTCATAGTCCTTACTATCAACAGATTTTTTAAAGTAACAAAATGATAGGACTGAAGCATACTTCTGTTGCTGTTTATTAGAGTTCCACTGCTCTTCATTTTCACTTAAACAGTATTGTAGACTCTTTTATTTTTTCCCCATTTTACTGTATAGGAAACACTCCAACCAACTAAACCACCCAGCTAGGGCTCTCTCTCTTTTAATAACTGATTTTGTTAAATGATGTTCTATATAAACATCAAAAACTAGTATTAATCTACATATTTTAGGTTAAATGTTCTGATTCAAATGGTTTATTTTTTTTCAAAATAAAGTAATATAAAGTATCCCTAAAATATATTGCTAAATGAAAAAGAGAAAGATGCATAATTGTTTGAATATTGTGTTACCAGTATGTTCTAGTGTGTTATAAAGTATGAGTGTGTGTGTGTGTGTGTGTGTGTGTGTGTGTGTGTGTGTGTATAACCGTAGTTGTCTCTGAGGAAGGGAATTAACTGGGAGACACAGATTGTAGGAAGACTTACCTTCTAAGTAAGTGCTCTCCTAGACCCTTTGAATTTTTCACCCTGTGCATGTGTACTATTTTTAAACAACTCAAAAATAATTATAAAATAGAAAATTAATAAAGAGGGAAGGTAGGGGTCAGGTGGGCAGGGGGAGATTAATCGGGGAACTTATATACATATAAGCATAGCCCATGACACAGACAATGGTTGCTGAAGGCTTGGGAAGGGTAGGTGCAGGGTGGAGGGGGTCAATGGGAAAAAAACAAAAACAAAGGGGACATCTATAATACTTTCAACTATAAAGATATAATTTTTGAAAATTAATTACGAGAAGGCCTTATAATGTGAAAGACATTATAAATACTCAAATATAAGGCGATTCTTTTCTGAGAAATAATTTTTTTAAAAATCTACTTGATTCCTATGAAGACATACATGGCACACACTGGGACACATAGAGCTGGGTACTAGGGCAGACCATATGTGCATAAGCATCAACTGCGACATGTATACAGAGATATATTGAGTATAAGTGACTTCAGGGCAAAAGCATGCCTACTCGCAGGTAACTGCCCATCAATGCAGAGACAGGGCTCTCCCAGGTTCAGAGGCTCACAGCTCTGCTGTGTACACAAGTTAAGCACAGTAAACAGACCTCATCTCTCTGCAGGCTTCCAACACTTGAACTTTGGATGTTCATTAGGTATTGTGTCATTATTCTACTGGGACAATTTAACATTCATCCCACATGTTCAAGTCATCGTAGCCCCAGTTTTCTTTCCTATGCCAGAAAAGACCAATACGGGGCAATGCTCATAGAGATTTGATTCCTTACTAAGTATTATCATGAAAGTGCTCCAAATCTTTAACAGGATCTAAGTCTTCCACAATAGGCCCAGCTTCCGCATGCCAGTAGTACATGAGCTCATTCCCAAACAGTCTGGTTTTTACATCATCTAATCTCATCCTTGTCCTGTTTCTTCTGTAAGAGAGTGATTTGGATTCTACTTTCTCACTTTTCTAATGATATGCCTTTCAATCATACGCCATCTTGAAAAAGATTCCAATCTCTTATGTCTGATATGATAACCAATACAGAACCATGGGTTTTCTGAAAACATAGTTCAATAACAAAAATGATCTAGCTATCTTCCTTCGGAACATTATGTCCTGTCCAAAACAAACTCCATCAGATCCACAGGGCAGCAGGTCGACAAACCACATGCTCTATGGCAATGTCAAGCTCCAGAGTCTGGCTCTTATACTAGTCCATCTAAGAAACATTGCCTTTAAGTAATGTAATACCCTTGAAATCTAGTAAAATTTCTAAAGAGAAAAATCAAATCAATGAAGTTAGGTAAAGTTGTTTTGTGCAAAGGAATGTAGAATAATCTATTTTATGGCTGATTTTAAAAAGACATAAAAAATCTATAATTCTAAATTAAACGAGACATATAGATCTGATCTGCCCAACTTCCTCACAAACTGAATAAACTAAAGTCAATTGCAATCATCCTACTTTTACTTCGAATGACTGTGGTAAGTACCTGTTATTAATTCAGAATGTCTCCAGTACTCAAAGCACTGCTTGTGTTGTGGAGAGAGGAAGAGAAAATTGCTGCTGATTTTGTTTATTAACACAACTTGCACAACTCCAGAACAAGCCAATGGAGCCAAGTTCACCTGGCTCACGTGGCAAGGGAAAGAGGCTTAGATCCTACCAATGCTTCCAAATAGACAGACACTAGTGAAAAAGGCCAGAATAGCAGGGATCATTGTAACTTTCTACCAAGACAAAAGCAAACAAACAAACAATTTTCAGGTGTTTTAAGTACAAATTTGATACCAATTATTTCTTTCTTTTATAATCAACCTCTTCAATAATGATTTCTATGATCAGCTTTGTTCAACCTGTAGCCATGACAATTATTTCCTATCCTAAAAAATAATGCCCTTTGACCTCGAGGGCATAGCTCTATGCTGTTTATCTCACCTTTTACAGCCAGGTTCTTTGAAAGGACAGACTTTAACTGTTGTTCTAATCCTACCCAGGAATGGGGACCTCTCAAATAACAAAAGTAATAATAGCATTTTCCACATGCCTGACACTGTTATCAAGAATCAATCTGTGTTAACTCATTTAATCCTCATACAAACCTATAGAATAAGAACCATTATTATCCTCATTTTACAGTTATTGTTTATTTTTAACCTTGCATCAGCCAGCTGGGAAAAACAGAGCAAAAAGGAAACTCACTCTTCTCAGCACAGTAAATAAATGATGAAGTCAACTTGGTAATAGGCCTTGTCTTTAAAAGATTGTCCATGAGTAGAAGCCTTTGAAAAACTTTTTTCCAACCCAAAGGTTGTCTGTGAGGTGGTCCCAGGACCACCTCACAGACAACCTTTGGGAAAGAATAAAGCTAGCAGGTGTCAGTCACCCCTGCCTCTGCCTTTCCTCCCTCCTCTGGCCTTCATATGCGTTCACTCTTCCTCCTTCTCCTTTTCTACATTCTTATCCTGACCCTTTCTGCCTTCTCCTTCCCTTGTCTTTTTCCTGTGTCTGCTTTCAGAGCCAAGGGGATGGGGGGACCCTCTGTGAGCCTCTTCACCCTCCTGCAGTGGTGATGAGAGGGGCTCGGAATGGCCCACTCATTTCTCTCTTTGCTCTCCACCGCAGGCCATCTTCCTCGGGGCTGCAGGAGATGGGAGTCAGATAGGAAGGACAGATGAGGGGCACGGAGGACTTCCTTTCCCTGCCATTCAGGCCCCACCAGGTCTCCAAGAGCCCAGGAAATCCCTGCCAAAAACTGAGGAACTTTGGCTCATCATAGCGTTACCGTGGAAGAGCTGAGAAATGGGAGTAGAATCTTACCACTTCCATTCATACCCTCTGTAATCTTTAGCCAGGTTCCTCACTACTCAGTTTCAGGTTTTTCTTCTGTTGCGATTATATGAGGCTCATATGAAATAACAGATGAGAGATTACTTAGTAAACTGTGAAACAGCAGATCAACGTAAGGCATTGTCCTTCCTTCATCTATCATTACTGAGCACACGGTTACTAATAAGAACAGCCTGGTCCCCACTGCCCTTCCACAGCTCCCCCGCTGGAGATCCTCTGACTTAAAGCGGGGTTAGGTGTCAGCAGTTCTATTCTGAATGGCCAGGCCCTTCCTTCTTCAGCCACTGGGTTTGCTGGGAAGAATTTCTAGCATCACCAGGACTGAATTGTAATAATAAGGTGAGAATAAGTGTGCCCTAAGGAAGGACCCTTCACTGTTTCAGTCCTATAGTTCAAGTGCCTCTAGGTAGATGCACTGACCCTCAAACTTGCTGTTCTTCTCCATCAGGTTTTTAAAGGTCTCCTCGTGCCGTAATCGCACTTTCCTTCTCTCAGAAGCCCGATTATGTTCCACATGGTCTTGTTCAGTTAGAGGTATGACTGGTTTTAAATGAATCTAGAGAAAAAAAAAACATTTACCTCTCATCACGTTGTTAAATTACAAGAGCACAATGTGACATTTGCAAAAAAGCAAATGATATGCCACATTGTTTTCTAACTCAAAGTAAATAATTTATGGGTGTTTTCACACACATTTCATTTTGACTAAAATTTTTCCTTAAAAATATTTAGAAATATTTTTAAATTTAAAAAATCAACACAATTATTTCTTTGTACAAGATATGCACTTTAAGCAGTTTTTCAAATATTATTTCCCCTGATTTTTAAAAAATTTAACAGAACTACAAAATAAATTATTCAAATTAATGCATGAGGAGATGGACTTCGATGCCACTTAATTTTTATCAGGAAATGTTTTCTACCTGGCTGGTGTTGCTCAGTGGCTGAATGTGGGCCCATGAACTAGGAGGTCACAGTTTGATTCCCAGTCAGGGCACATGCCCAGGTTTCGGGCTTGATCCCCAGTAGGAGACGTGCAGGAGGCAACCAATCAGTATTTATCTTTTGTTGATGTTTCTATCTCTCTATTGATCTCCCTATCTGGGGAAAAAAAAAAAAAAAAAAAAGGAAAGAAAAAATGTTTTCTACCTTTTGCAAAGTTTAGACATCAAAGGAAGGAATAAAGATATCTCAAAGAAAGCTATTATTTACCAAGAAATATTCTCAATTTGGAAATTTCATCACATGATGAAAACATCACATATGTATATAAAAGTCCAGTGAGCAGAACAGCAGAACAACCAGAACGACTGGTGGCTATGACAGGCACTGCAGCAGTCAACCAGCCTAATCCAGGCTCCAATTGCCACCCCCCACCTCTGCCAGCTTGGCTTCCAGCTCGGCCTCTATCAACTCCCAACACCCCAATTAGGGGCGAGGCCAGCCGCCAACCACCAGTGGCCTCATCCCCCTGTTGGCCCAGCCCGTTGGGCCCCAATCTGGGTGGGCCGGCTGGACCCCACCCATGCACAAATTCATGCACTGGGACTCTAGTTACCTAATAAGCAAACTTAAAGAATCAATGTGTCAGAATCAAGCTTTACACAACATCAAGAAGCCTGGAAAAACAAAACAGAACACAAAACATCAATACTACCAAGGGCTCAAGCTTCTTCAGAAATTCCTCCCTGCTGACCTGTGCGTGTCAGGAAGAGGCACTTTGCAGCTGACTGTGGTAGCGCCATGCTTATTTCCAGGACACTAAAGGCCAGTGCTCACCCTTGGCCAAGATACGGATGAAGTATCTTGATTTATAACATACTGCTTCAAGTCTAAACTTCCTTGGACTGCCTTGCCTAATTCGTTTAGGAATGGATAGACTGATAGCTTGCACTGGTTTAACTGCTTACACAACCTTGTTTTAGTTGGACAACCAGAGGGGTATAAAAAGGTCACCTTTGTAAACCAATGTAGATAAACTACATTTTGTGTGATTGAAGAGGACCCTGAGAGCAATGCCTGGCAGTCTTGAACCTCCCTGCTGTTTGCCTGTGGTTTTTCTCCATTAGTGGACATTTGGTCTTGTCCAAAACATCCATGGAGACATCTGGTCCATGCCAAAAGGTCTTTGATATTTGGTGCTGTCCAAAACATCAACACTTACAAAATATCCCTGTGTTCAAAGAGTATATAATGTTTACTAGTATTTAGACTTTTGGTTTGCAGGGTTAATCAATTTAAAATTGTATTGCCAATATAGGCTACTTTTCTTGCCTTGGTAGCCTAGTTGGTCATGGCACATGTGAAGGACCAAATATCAAGGAGCTTTTGGCGTAGAGCACGTGTCCTGCAAGTTCTTTCTCCTGATGTTCTTCCTCCTTTTAGGTTGAATGGGCTTTGCATGAGCATGCTCTATGGGGTCTTGTGAGTCCTTCAAGGATCTGGCCTGTGCAATTGTAGGACTAAGCCTAGTGAATCATTGCCCATCCTGTCCTGGAAAAAACTCACTTTGAACAGAGATCCAGGTAGGCCTTGTCTCTTCAAATCAAACACTGAGTTTTAACGGCTCTCTTTATGGTATTCTAAACAAGAATGTCACCAAGTGGAAAATAAATTAGTCTGGGAAACATGCTTTACAGTAAAGGTTATCTGAGACAACCAATTATGGCAGGACCATAAGGGCCCTGACTTCCCAGAAATGCTTTCAGAAAAACAGTACTTCAGTCTCAGCAGAAACTGAAGTGTGGCTATTCCATTCTGTTTCCACGAGTTCCTGAAGTTGGCGTGAGAAGTCTACAGCTGGAGGGAAAATGATGGCCCTCGTTTCCTCCTTCATGTGTAGGAAGAAGTGGTTGGGGGGGGACTCCTTTCTGTCACTTGCTCTCAGATATGGGAACTCTGCACCCACTCCCACATTCTCTCACTCCCTAGAGTCTGGAGATTTCTGGGGACTTCAGAGAAAACAGAGTGGTTGGCAACACCTATCTCGACATCTTAAATTTCAGTAAACATAGGATCTTTGGGATACTTTGTCAATGTATAGATTCCAAGTTTCTATGTGAACGATTCTAATTCGGTAGATCTGGGATATAGCCCAGAAAGCTGTATTTAAATAATGTAATAGCTTAAGTGAACTTCAGTTTGAAAAGCAATGCGTTTGGGCAATGTGAATTTGCCTGTGGTCTGTTTAATCTTGAGAAGTAAGGGAAGTGTCCAAGTGTACATAACTCAGGGAAATCTGCTACCTGGGGACCATGGTGGGCTAACTCAGCTCGGCTCATCTCTGTGCCTCCCTGCTCAAGTGAGGCATAGCTGTGGAGTGCGGTTCTGTCATTCTTTCTAATGAGTATAGTGGGAACATTGCTTGTCTCACCTCTAAACTCTGAAGTAGTCTGAGAAGGACACTTTGGCAGAGTGAGAAGCACTGCTTGTCACTTTCAAAGTGGAGCCAGGAGAAGCCACGGTGCCCACCTCTGGAGCAATCCCTGCAGTGAAAGGCTTCGATTCCAAATTGAATTATCACACTTAAAAATACTTAGACTAGATTGGGATCGTCCCTGTGGCATGATGCCTTTAAAAAGAGAAGCCAAGAAATGATAATGAATAAATCTCCAAAAGACCATGGGAAAGCTGTCCTGGGCAAATGGCCAGGCTAGTCCACTGGGCCCATACATTAGGCCAAAATACTTCCTTTAAGGGCGTTTTTACCCCATATGCCCTGAAGCTTATTTTTAAACTTCAATAACTCAGCAACTTTGACATCCTTCCTTCAGGTATAAAGAAGTGATTGGACCAAAACATGCAAGAGCTCATTAAATTGTTCTTGCTGAAATAAAAAAAGATATTTTAACTCAACTGGGAGTTATATAACCCCAAAAGAAAAGAACTAAACCAGGAAGCAATATTTTTTTTTTTGAGAAACTGATATGACCTTTAGATAATTTAAAACACAGTATTTTCCCCTCCTTCACAAACTGGCTACATCTTTTGTCTAAGGTACTTAATACTATAACATTACCACGGACTGATCTTTTATGATAAATATTGATGAATAACAAATCTTGGGAAAGCATTTCTCATGCTAAGATGAATGTCTTTTTCCTAATAATCATTCTGATGCAATTTTTAATATGTCCCTCACACAGAAGATTTACCTTTTCTTTTCCAACTGGTTTGGCTACAAATGTAGAGAAGGCCACACTAACAAGTTTCTCAATGCCAGTGAACGTGTCCTGCACTATGACCTTGATGCTGATCTAAAATGAAAAGAAAATAAACATTCAGCCATCCAGACAACAGATGGGATTGCAGCATTCCAAATTCAGTTATGCTCGTCACCATTCTTTTTCTTTTGGTTTTTCAATGAAACTACCATTTTAATCCATTCTTAAGCAATACTCTTGTTTTAATAATGTTCTATAGAGTTGGGAAGATAACTTTTCCCCCTGATTACAGAAAGATACATATTTGCCATGGAAAAGTTGGTAAATATAAAAATAAATAAATAATAAAATTGGAATCTAACTATCCAGAGGAAATATCAGTAACAGTAATCCCACTGCTCAGATTTTCTTCCAGTTACATATATATGTGAAACATAAAATGTATATTATTTATTCACATATGAAATATCTGAGTCTGTGTATACATGCACACAAAATTACCATATTGCATTTGCAGTTTGTATCATTTTTTAAAAAGTTAGTGTTATGTGATAAGCATTTTCTAATATCATTATTAGCACCAACAGACGGAAGTAAGGAAAGGGGCTTCTTACCTCCATGCTTGTGCTGAATGCTCTAGTAACTTTTGCTTTGATGGTTATAACTTGTCCAACTCTAATAAACAACAACAACAAAAAAGGATCTCAGTAATCTGAGCATAGCTCATTCCAGGCTTAAAGGTTAGTTAAATACATGTGCCATAGAGCACACTCACCTTATCACACTCATAATGTTTGTGCGTGAAAAATTCAGGTTAATGATAACGTAGAAAAGATCGCACTAAAAACAGATGCCAATCATTGTGAACCACACATACATTAGCCAACTATCTCTATTTAAACAGCAAAGGGCCTTGGCAAAGATTGTGTGCAAAATGACTTCCAAATCTGCAACAGATACTTTGACAATATGGCAGCTGTTTTCTTAAGAGAAACCAAAACAAACACATAAACAAAACCAATGCAATTGATATTTATTTTAAAATATTAGTTAACAAGTAAGTAAATAAACTATACAAACAAGCTGGCCTTAAAACTGATCAGCTTTACTAAGTTTACAGGGGTCCTCCGTGCTGCAAGGTGATCCATTTACTCCACATTATTATTGATGAAAATCTATATGTCATTTGAGGCCTACATTTAATGCTACCTCTGTCATGATACTCCACTGATTTCCCAGTGAAAGTGCACTTTTTAACTACCCCAAAGAACTGAGTTTATATCTCATCTTAGGCATGTACCTATTATACTTTCTATTCTGATGATTATGTATTTATGTGACTCTCACCAGACTGAACAACTGCCACACTCCAGAATTGTACCATTATCATTCGCATATCCTATTGAGCACAAGTAGTACTTTTCATTTAAGCAATACATATTTGTGAATTTAAAAAATATCTAATATGGCTTACAATTCAATTATATGGTTCCCTATATATTGCTTTTAATTTTCTTTTTCTATAGTGCAGGTGGCATATAAAAAATATGAGTTCACTTTTTATCAACTTAGTGACCACAAATCCTTTTTGATAATACAAATGCAAATTGGCAAAACCATATTTCAATGATGAGGTTATTAGTTAAGCATAAGTTACAGAATTTAGGATTGGAAAGAACATGGCATTACACTGTACCACTGGCATTCCTAAATGTAATAATAGGTGCTTTCATCTATTCCCAAATAAGTTTGAATCCACTTTAATTTGTAATTTTGCTCATAAAAATACATGTCAATATTTTGTACTTAGTATGTGAGATTAGTCAATGCATCTGGTTCTATTTAACTTAATTTTGTTTGTATGTAAATAAATAAATGCCAAATAGATAAATGTAAGCAGTTAGGTTGGAGAGAGGAACTGGGCATCTCATTGGATAAAACTACTTAGGGTTTAAAAACTGGTGACAGCTACCCCATGGTCCTAGAGAACTATCCCAGACCAGAAACAAATAACCGGTTCTCTTCCTTTTTCTTGTAAATTCTGCTTATGATTTTAAGGATCAAGGAATTTCACATAAAACAAACAACAACAACAAAACAACTCCAAGACTAGCCATGGCTGGTGTGACTCAATGATTAGAGTGTCAGCCCATGCCCTGGAGGGTCATGGGTTTGATTCCCTGTCAAGGGCATATACGTGGGTTACAGGTTCCTGGCCCAGGTTGGGATGTGCATAGGAGGCAACCAATCAATGTGTTTCTCTTGAATGATGTTTCTCTGCTTTTCTCTCTATTTGTCTCTCTCCCTCCCTTCCACTCTGTCTAAAGATCATCTATAGATGACAAAACACACACACACACACACACATACACCAACTCACCAAACCAACCAAGATTATACAAACATAAAAATGAAAGAAATTAAGTAGAACCATATAATCCTAAGTGATTAGAGTTATCAGTATAAACTCTTTAAAAAACACATGATTCCTAGTTCTGTTCACTGAAAAGGCCTAAACATAATGACCAACTCTATATTGATGAGAATGTTTCCTGCCCAGATTGTGATCTCTACTTATCATTTCTTTTGAAGAAATTTCTGATTCTGAGTTTGTGTGAGAAAATGTATAAAATGAGCCCATCTTGTCATGTCAGAAAGCAAAGGAGTTATTAAAGAATTCTATTCTAACTTTGGGGTTATGTCCAAAATTCAGAGCCAAACTGAAGAAGTTTCCACTGTCCAAAGACAGGGCAGTGTGAGCATCCGTAAGAATAATAATATCAGAATTGAAATGCATCAATTATGTTAAAAACCATGGGCTCCTAATGATACTCTCCTATATAATAAAAGGGTACTATGCAAATTGACTGAGTGGCAGATGACCAATCACTATGATGTGCATTGACCACCAGGGGACAGATACCCAACGCAGGAGCTGTCCCCTGGTGGTCAGTGTGCTCCCACGGGAGGAATCACCTCTCAGCCACAAGCCAGGCTGATGGCTGGTGAGAGAGAGAGTGTAGTGGAGGTGGTGGGAGCACTAACGGTATCTGACATCCCCCGAGGGCTCCCGGACTGTTAAAGGGCGCATGAATGTGCACAGGGACTGTAGTATAAAGAGAAAGAATTAAGTCTATTTTTCCTGGACAAACTTTACTTCAGGGTAGCCAAGTAATCAAGGAGATAAAGGGTCTCTCTATATAAATATTTCAGAAGATAAGTGAAAAAAACAAACATAAAATTAGCATACTACTATTTTAACAATATCTAATAAAATAATGGTTCTAAATAATGGTCATTAGACAGTATATGCTCTTGACAGGAACTGGTTTTACCAAAATGTCAGGTCAATTTTTAGGCGTAACTATCAGTTTATAAGAAATACATGCTGAACAGGAATACAATGAGAAAATGCAAGATGTGGTAAATTCTTTAAGATAAATGACCAGGTGTGTTTACAAAATAAATTGCAAGTGAAATGAACAAAGGGAAAGTTATATGTTAAAAGACATATCAACCATATTGGATCCCGATTCAATAAATGAATTGTTTAAATTAAAAACAATTTGAGACCATTGGAAATGACCATTTCTGTTAATGGTATAGTAATTATTATTACATGTTCTCTAAAAGAGCCTTAACTTTTAGAAATATATACTGATAATGCAAACACAAAATAGCAAAAACATTTCAATGATGAGGTTACTAGTTAAGCCTAAGTTACAGATTGTAGGATGGAAAGTATGTAATAGATATTTTATTACAATGTACTGTTGGCATTGCCAAATTTAATAATGGTGCTTTCCAAATAAGTGTGAATTTGCAGTAATTTTTAATTTTTACAGATGATCCCTTGGAATTATATCAAAATAGTCCAGGTGTGTGGGAATCTAGAAGGGAATTGATAAAACCAAAGTGTCCATGAGTTGATCGTTGTCATAGTTACTGGTAGGTGAAGGGTCTTTGGGGATACATGGAACTATTCTCTCATCTTTTGTGTATGTTTGAATATTTGTATATCCTGAAATTTTCTACATTAAGATATGGTAAGCACACACACGCTCCCATACATAAAATGTTTTTCATAATTAAACATCTTTACTCAGATAAATTAATGTTTACCCAACAACCTAATGATGCCATTCACCATCACAGAGATACTTATTACCATTAATTATTCTCCTAGTAGAAGAAGGAGCCATTAGGAATCAGCTTCAAGAAACCCTGCTATGCCTTAGACCAGAATGCATATAAATACATAATGCAAGCAGCTATTTCTCAACAAAATCAGGACTAAATTTACAGTTAAGGAAATTTTATTAAAAGTAGGTCCTGCAATTTTCTTACTGACTTACATTTGGTCAGATGTTATGTATTTTGTTAAGAAATTGGTTACTGACTTAACACAATGAAGATGACATGTTTTCAATGAACCAATACACTCAGGAGAAGGGCATGGAAGAGCAGTTCCTCTTACCGAGCTGTCTCCTCAAACTGAATGTCATCCACTGAGGCTGTGACACAGGAAACCCCAGCATGTTTCTCAGCTTAAAAAAAAAATAGGCAAAAATGGGCTGCATTAGTAATGTTTGAATATTTCAGCTTAGGGGAAAAGGAGTACAATTCAAGTGGATTTATTTTAGTAACCCATCCTCTCATTCAATATAAGACTCCTGTGCCCACACTCTGGATTGTCTGAATCATAGCTGCTCCTTTGCTGTGGAAGTTATATTTCTGCTGCATTAAAATTACTATAGTTCCTTCTTTGATTTAAAATTCAATACCAGGACCCAGCATATCAAGTTATTCAAATAGCAATTTTAGTAACGTGGTGCCAGCTTCGAAAGTTTTGCGAGGTACTACCTTCCTTTGGTTTTCAACACAAAGCATCAAAGCTGTATCCATTATCCCACATGACCAGCAGCTAAAGGTAGTTAAGCCACTTAGCCAGCGTAAGCACTGAGGAATGGGAAACCTTGAGAGCACACCCCAAATCACAGAGGAACTTCTCTGGATACCAGAGACACACAGTAGGTATTTAGTGAATGTTTGTTATTTTTTTACTAGTAGATTCACACCAAACTCACTGTGCATTAACTATATTGCAGGAGGAGAGTACTGACGAGGGTGGAGCGAGATTATGGAGGAACTCCAGTGATTTCGATGTTCTATGACTGCATTTAATTTGTTGAGAGAGTTTAATTGTTGGTTTCACTTTACACAAAAATATCAGATTTCATTCTCTTTGGGAACATTTTGGACATGTGCTTCTGCCAGAATTTGACTTTGAGGAACAGTCACTTAAAACCCAAACAGAATGCATAGGCTCGTTAAGAACTTTTAACCCCATTTTGGGGACTTCACTCCTGGTGCCACATTATGAAAACAGTGAATTATACTGAATTTGTATGCTTTGTGGGTTACTTTAACTGCAGTGCATAAGCGGTAAGAAAATCTAAGTATTTAAAACTCTCCTCCCTATGATTCAATTCTGTGTAAAACTGGACATTCTGTTTTTACTAGTTGGAAAATAACTGTTCTTCTAAACATGAACATAACATGAAAACTAACCACAGCAGAACTCAGTGATGGAACGGGGAGGATGAGCTTCCCACCTATACAATTTAGTGAGAGGAAGAGACATAAAAACATCAAATATAAACACAGGGCGAGCAAAAGTAGACTTACAGTTGTAATACAAATAAATACTGCAATCATTAATAAAGAATAACGTAAGGATAATCTGTGTTTTACATACTCACAACTGTAAACCTACTTTTGCTCACCCTCTACTTACTGTGGCATCAATTTAATTCAGTGTATCAGATTTTTGTCAAGTTCCCATAGACTTATCTGAATCAGTCCCATCTTTTACCAAGTCTATTCAGTGGCAGAGGGCCAGCCACAGTCATTGACCTTTTATGCTTTAAGATTTCCAGAAAACTAATGGACCCTTGCAGATATATTCTGCAAAACATTGACTAATAACACTCATTCTCACTACCTGACACAAGGGGAATGGGTGTTGAGCTTATGAAACTATTCTTGCTAATAAAGTGTTATCATGTACATCAACATGTTACCAATTTTGAATGATTTAAATGATAATCAAAGTGCAATAACTAATAAAAGACAATTTTTATTGTATATATCAGGTATCTATTAAGTATCTGTAGCACCATACTAGATTGCACGAGGAACTAAGAAGCAAAGAACTATGGTAATAGTTAGCATTTGTAAGCATTTATTATTGGCCAAGCCCAGAACTAAGAACTTAAGTATGCCCATTACATAAGGCTGGTACAATGATTGGTTCCATTTTACAAATGAAGAAATTTTGGCTTAGAAAGTTTGGTTCAAATAAAGTCTTACAAATATGTATTCTCCACCGTAGGTTTGGACAGTTCTTACCTCAGTGGTTTAAGTTGGAAAGGGCATTGCGATAAAGTTGACCAATGTGTGCACATGCCAACGTGGTTGGATAGACTTCTCTAAGGAAGTGACATCTAAGCTGAGATGTGACGCATGGAAGGGACCAAGAGAAGAATATAAGGGCAAAAGGAAAGTCAGGCCCAGAGGCCACAGAAGGGGGTGTTAGGCCACAAGCGGATGCAGAAACAGGCCTGAGAAGCGAGTAATCCTCTTTCACCAGACAGCAAAGCGATGTGCGGAAACATAACCAATACGACTCCTTTAAGTGACTGTTGAAGATAGTTTTTTTCAATAAAAAAAAAAAAAATGTCATGGGTTCGTTCCTGTTCCTTTTCAATGAATTCAGTTTTGAAACTTTTGAATAAGCTCAATATGGATAAAAATAGCCCACCTAAACAAATTTTGTGGAGCCCTCGTTTATACAGTGCGGTAAAGGAGTCCTAAGACGAAACTGTTTGAGAACTATTGGCCTAGGTCAGTGTTTCCCAAACTTCTCAAAATTGTATATTTTTGAGAACATATAGGTATACAATTTTACCTATATGTTCCCAAAAATTCTAGTTTAGCACTTCTTAGTTGGGATTCAGGAATCTGTAGTTTAACAACTCCACCAGGTGATTCTCATCATGAGAGAAGTTTGGGAAACACTGGCCTAGGTCATTCCCAGCGTTGGATGAACTGGTTAATCATGATGGTCCTGGCTGCTCAGGGCTCACAAGTCAAAAAAACATCCCTCTCTCCTCACTCACACCTGGTCTTGGGGCGGCTGGGGAGCCAGACGGGGGCTCCCGCACTCCCCCCCACCCCCCATGGGTCATCCAGGATCCTCCCTAGTCCTGCCACCCTGCATCCCGCCATCCGCACCCCCACATCCCAGCCCGCCTCCTAGTTCCCACACACCCCGCCATCCAGGACCCTCCTCTGTACCCCAAGCTCCCCTCTCTTCCCCTCCCCTTACCTTCCGGGCCCCAGACAACCCCACCGTCCCCCATTCTGGACCCCTTCCCGCCCGCCCGGCCGCCGCGCCCTACCTGCCAGGCAGGCGGTGGTGTCGATCCACTTGAGCAGCTGCCCGGCGCTCAGCTCGCCGCGGGCGTTGGCGTGCGCCGGCTGGATGGCCTGGCTCATGTGCACCTCGCGGGGCGCCGGCTGGGGGGCCTGGCTCCTGGGCACCTCGCGGGGCGCCGGCCGCTCCATGAGTCCCCGGGGAGAGAGGCCCCTCCGCCCGCCGCGCGCCTGGCCAGCGCCGGGCCGCCCGGACCAAAGGGCACCCGGGCGCCGCGCCCTGGCCCCCGGCCCGGCCCGCTCCCTGCCCGCCGGGCGCCGGGCGCTCGGGAAAATGAGGTTCAGGTGCCAGGAATATCGCCCCAACATCGCGAGGAGGGCGAAGGCGAGCTCTCTCCTGTTTCAGAAGTTAAATCCGGGGGCAAACTAGGTTGGCAAAGCCGCGGAGAGCCTGGCTTTCCCTCCCTAAAGGTTGGAAAGCAGTGCTCAGTGCAGAGGGGAGCAGAGGATTAGATGGGATAATGTAGGAAACTCACAGCACTTGTCTGCCTGTTTACGTGGTTGAGTAAATAGTGAGGCCTGAAGAATCCGACAGGTGATGAAGAGTTAAGAATTGGTTATGCTAAGTGAAATAAGCCAGGCAGTGAAAGAAAAACACCACATGAACTCACTCATTTGTGGGTAATAAAGAACATTATAAGGGTTCCAAGATAACCCTTTGTTGTTGATCGATCATTTTCTTATAAAATTACCCCTGCTGCTAAACAAACAAACAACAAACAAACGTCCTGAGTTTTGCAGACACATCAGAGTCACTTAACAAACTAAGGCAACCTTTTGGTTTTAATCTAGAGAATTTATGATACCAGCAAATCCCAAGAGAATCTTCTTTATGGAAGACAAAAATCTAGAACATTAGATGAGAGTGTTCATTCTCAGCTTTTAGCACATAAAAGCTACTACACTTTTCCTAGAGCGAGAGTCACTGGCCGTACAAAAGCAGTTCGCATTAAGGAAGGGGTGACATCAGAAAACCACCAGTGTTCAGTATGGTTCACGGATGTCATGTTGTTAGGGGCCGCTGCCCCTGGGAGAGCATTTATGAGTGAAGAGACATAAATGCCCAGAGAGCTGAAGCAACACGCCAGGCATGCAGCTGACTGAAGAGGAACAGCGAAGGAAGCAGAGCCCCTAGCTAAGCCCAGGACTCCTGACTGTCCAAAGCAGCTGGCCACAAAAGCTAACGGACCCCAGCGGTTGGTTGTGCTTTTTCACCCAGGTGGCCTGCCAAGCCCCCGCCTGGAGATATCAGAATGGAGAGTCTTAAGTTTCCTTGACCTATTAAAGATTTTTTCCAATGAAAAAAACTTGATCATCTTCAGAATCCTCTCTGAGTAGGTTTCCATCCCATATCAGCATAAGAATTAGATGCAGTCAGTTAGGCAAGTATGAAGTTTGTCTTTTATAAAAAGCACAAAAATAACCTTTCTAAGCAAACAAATGAAAGTTTAGGCCGCCACGATGGTCCACTCATGCAGTTATATAATTATTTCAATGACAATGTTATTATTCCAATCTCTTTTGACCCTCCTCTTTGGAAAACACCATTAGAGTTCTTAATACTATTATTTTGGCAGATTAGATTATTGTTCAGTGAATATTGACTCCATTTTCTGTGAACTCCATGGGAGGCATTTATGCGGGTTGTGCTTGGCCACGGAACTTGCTTTGGAATGGAGAGTGGGGAAGTAAAAATGTATCAGTTCCAAGCCAAGCCCTTCCAGGCACCACATTCTTGGGAATGTCTGACCTCTGCCATGTGGAGATTATGTGCCTAAATAGCCACCCATCAGCATCTGGGTGCCAGGCTGAGTTCCCATTTTGCAGAGCAATTCTAGCCAACCTGCAGATTCACAGCCTGAAGCTGAGCCACCGAGCAGACATACAGACTCGTGAAGGAGACATTACTTACTGTTGGATGTCACTGTGATTAGAGAGTTATACACCAATAACTGATGGTTCCATGCATGAATTTCATTTATTAATATTTTAGGAAGTTTATTAAGTTACTGAAAATAGAATTTGTGTTTAGATTGAGTTGTATTATTTGGGTTTAAACCACTGACAAAGTGGCAGTATTACGTATATGCTCATATTACTTGGTTTCTGTTAAACTTGAGGAATTAAAAAAAAATATTTTAAGCACAGGTGTGAGAAGTTGGCTTTCCAAAGTGATTATCTGGAAGGGGACAGCTTGTATCTGTATCTGTATGTTAGGGATGTTTGATAAAAAAGCAGACACAGTACACAAACTCACTGTTGTGTTTTTTCCCATATGTATTATCTCCTATTTACATGTCTTTTGATTATGGTTTTATATCTTTTGTTGGTTTCACACTGATTTTCATTTTAATAGCCTCAGCCTACAACCACCATTCTTATGTCTTCTGAAGGGTCTCTTTTTCTCGTGCACAATGAAAATGTCATTTTTGCTATTATGTTTGAAGAAAAGGCTTCCATTTTCTATTTCTGTTTAGAAACATCTTTTGATGATGAGCAGAATGTGAAGCCAGCTTGATTTTTAAAGGTCATGCACGATGCAGGAAAGCTGATTGGGACGCGTGTGGCAAGTATGATAATGAGAACATCTTCAGAATGTTGGAGTGGGAAGGAAGCCGGACAGTCTGACCTCCTCATTCTGGAGAAGAGAAAACAAAGTGTTTGCCCCGAGTCCCATTGCAAGGCAGTGATCGGGCTTTGGGGAAACTGAGAGCAAGAAGCATGAAGTATAAGGAAAGAGAACAAAGTGCTTCCGCCAGAAAGACCCTCCAACAGGAATCTGAGAGCAAGCAGTTTATCTGGGACGGAAAGCAGGCTCTGCAGCAGAGCTTCGCCTCAGTAGGACATTAGGACGCTGTCAGCTGGTGAAGGATGCTGGAATGGTGAGCGCTGGAGGGATGCAGGCAAGGCACCGAGAGCCTGGGTCCTTCACTGCTCTGCACATCAGAGGCCACTGGGAGCCTTCTCATTTTAGGGGGCGAATCCCAGGCAGAGGGTTAGGAAATTTAAAGTATTTCATGTAGAAAGACTTTCATCTGCAATTCATGAAAGAAGTACTTTAAGGGAATGCTAGATCATAGCCCATGTCAAGGATTTTTTATATTTGCATTTTTGATTTTGGTTTGTAGTTTTTCCCTTCTGTTTTCTTTTTCTTTCTTTCTTCCCTTCCCGACCTCCGTTTTTGTCAATCTGGAACCAGTCTTCATTTTCATAACCTTGCCCCTTTGAAGGTTACAGGCCAGCTCTTTCTCAGCTTGGGTTTGCCTGCTATCTCATCAGAGCTAGATTAAGTTTAAGCATCTCCAGCAGGGATGTTAAGGATGATGCTGCGCATCTTACCTAGTGGTGCACAGTGTGAAATGTCCCGTTTTTGATGATGTTCATTTTGGTCATTTCATTAAAATGGCCTCTCCAAGTTTTTCTCCTGGAAATTGCCCTATTTGTAGTTAAGAAACATTTTGTGTGGAAGTTCATTGGAATTATGTAAATATCCATTCCTTAATAAATTTTTTGATTTGTTCATTCATTTATTTTTATTTCTATGGATCCGTGGTTTCTTATTTTATTCACAGCGTGCCCACCCAGAGGTAGTAGACTTGGCCATGACCTGCAGCGAGGCTGAGCTTGTGGTATATGTGAGAGAAGGGCACAGGTCTCACATGGCAGAGCAGCAGGTCGGCACTCACAGAGCAGTGCTGTACCCCGAGGGACACTGAGCCAGGGCGTGGTTCCCGGGAGTGGTGCTGGCAAGCTACAAAGAATCTGGAGAATTTGATTCTTTAATTCAGGAAGAGGAATTTCCTGGTGACAAATGGGTAATATTTATCCCCAATAGAAAGCATCAATCTGCCCTGAAGAGACTGTCAGATTACATTCTAGGGATGAAACAAGATTAGTTCTGACAGGTATATAGATCCTCAAAGAATGTGCAATAACTCCTCATAAAACAGCCTAAAAGCATTCTTTCTGACAGTTTGACATTTTGTAAAAAGCCTTTATGATTGAGCATGATAATAACCTGTCTTAAATTTTATAATTGTTTAATACAAGCATGATTTTTTTCTTCAAAAAGATTAATTAATCTAATTATTCAACACAAATTGTTTTGCAAGTCTAATCCTGTGTTGACCAGACACTGGGCTAAGCATAAAGGAGGGCTCCTGTTCTCAGGGAACTCTTAGTCTGGTGGGGAGGACAGATGAGCAAACTAGGAGTGTGCTGAGGGAAGGGGGTATAAAAGGTACAGTACACAGGACCCTGGGGGTACAGAGGGGAGGCTCTCCTCCACCTGGCCATCACCAGACAGTCTTCATCACTCTGTCAATTAAGTAGCAGGACCCAAGCATCCTAAGCAAAGGGTACTGCTTTAGGGCTCCCAGAACTAACTGGATATGAAAAGGCAGGCAGTGGGAAGGAGCAGAGATTATGCTGCAGGGCTGGGGAGCACAGCAAAAGTTGCTTATGAAGATTCTGGTATGGTCCAGTCCCTGCTCCCCCCTTCCTCATGGAACTTGGTCAAGATGGAAAGTCCCGGGAGAGAGCATCTACTTGGCTGAGCTTAAATAATACGTCTACCCATTACCCTAGGGCCAGGGAAGGGAAGGACACAGGGAGTGATGAGATCTGTTCCTCCCAGTTTCAGCAGAGATGAGATAGGTGGCTGGCATTATCTTCTAAGATTAAACACAGAGGGAGAGAACTTATTCTTTAAAAGGAAAGTGAGTTCTAATTAGGAATGGAGAATAGAAGCTAGATACATTTTAAAAATTACCAATGACTCATACGGTTCAGTCTATGGGAAGACTATGGTTCAGTGGTTGAGCATTATATGGACCAAGAGGTTGCGGTTTGATTCCTGATAAGGACATATGCCTGGGTTGTGGGCTTGATCCCCAGTGGGGGGCACGTAGGAGGCAGATGATCAATGACTCTTCCTTATCATTGATGTTTCTCTCTCTCTTTTCCTTACTCTTCCTCTCTGAAATAAATATATATTTTTTAAAAAGAATTATTTTCTGCTGTGTGATTGATTCCCTTAATACATTTTAACAATATTTATATTT